ACTTCTTCTTAGGGTTAGGGTTTGTTTGTTTAAAGTATTAAACTTATTTTTACATTATCGTCAATGCATGATGGGATACAACATTAATATTTGTAATGTCACTAATCTATCTATCTATCTATCTATCTATCTATCTATCTATCTATCTATCTATCTATCTATCTATCTATCTATCTATCTATCTATCTATCTATCTATCTATCTATCTATCTATCGGAATTTCCCTCAGTTAGATTGCTGTTATCAAACCTCATGTCATTTACTCTTTAAAAACACTAATATATCATTTACAGTTAAATGCACACTACTGTTTAAAAGTGTTTTTGAAATTTAAATTAAATAATAATAAGAAATGTTTCTTGAGCATCGAATCAGCATACTAGAATGATTTCTGGAGGATCATGTGACACTGAAGACTGGAGTAATGACGCTGAAAATTCAGCTTGGCATCACAGGAATAAATTACACTTTCAAATATATTCAAATAGAAAACGGTTATTTAAAATTGTAATATTATTTCTCAATATTAATGTTTATACTGATCAAATAAATGCAGCATTGGTAAGCATAAGAAAATTCCTACTTATCTTTTGAACGGTAGTGTAAACTTTAGCAAATCTAAAAACAAATATTTTCCATGTTTATACTGTACATTATACTGCTGTGATGCCTAAATTCACTTGTAGCATTTAAAATGATTGATTTTTTATTTTTTATTTATTTATTTATTTCAACAAAATAGTGTACAGTAACATTTTGTTGGTCAATTATCGTCCGTCAGCCATCATACTAAATGTTCTTTTCTTCTTGTTGTAGAGCGAAAGCAAAGATGGAGGCAGCAATTAAAAACGTGGTGGGTGTCTACCTGAAGTCGGCCAAGGGCAAGGAAAACCTGGGAGGAAAGGAGTTCCAGAGCCTTGTGAAGAACCAACTGAAGAACATTCTGACGGTTAGAAGCTGCTTTCAGTTTTGTTAAATCTAGCAAAACTTGATTTGAAATTCAGCCATCATTCAGTTACCATATTCGTCATTCAGTACACTCGATTTTTCCATGGCTACAGGTCGGCCCTAGTCTATTTCTTTTTTGAGCAGTTCCTTATTATCTGGACTTTGATGAGCTGAGCAGAAACCACAAACTTGTGTCCAAATAGTCATTTGCCATGAAGAATGCTGCTGTGTTATTTGCTCCGGTGCCACGTTAAATTACAGAGGAAAACTTTTAGCGGTGCTCGTTCATCTCACACTGTTTGTGCTACGGACATGAATGATACCTCGGGTCGTGCAGATTGTTGTGGAAAAGTGGGGTATTAATCTTCTAAACAATCATTGTGCCTGCATGGCAGACCATAAACGGGTGAAAAAACACTGTAAACTTGCTGTAGATTTATATATTTAAAGTCACCACGAAATCAAAATTGACTATTCTTTTTTTTCTTCTTTTATTGCAGTGTTTATTATTAATGATTTATCCGTGTACAATACATCATTATTTTTTTAAGCTTCACCTCCCTCTTGCAGTTACTATGTTTCCATCACCCTGCTTTTATGCGCATTTTGAAGTATCGCATCAGAAACGAGTGATGGAAATGCCAATTTTGGGAAAAAATCCCTTAATATCGCAAAAAAGTTTTGACGCTCGCTTTAGGTGGTTTTTTGCCTGCGAATAATGGGAGATGGAAACGCATTTGCCAAATAAATTCTGACGTAGTAAACATTAAACCCACGTGACTAATCGGCTGTTTCCGCTGATGGCGTTTTATTTACTGTTGGTTACTAGGTTGCCAACACCACCGTCATCATCCGCTCAAACAACTTGATGGAAACGCACCTAATTCGCATTTGTTTGTTTTTTGCAAACTTTGAAAAGATTCACTTCACGTTTGGATGGAAACCCGGCTAGAGACATCTCTTTTTTTTCTTGTGTGTTACTGGCGTGAGGGTGGGACAACCTGTCACTCGCATGAGATCGGCCAATAGCAAACCACAACCATCCAATCAATTCCCAATAGACAAAATCAAGTCCGACCCTACATTTTTTCTTGTTCGAGAAGCCGTTTCACTCGGATATACATCACAATAAAGAAAAGACTTAGCCTATAGCCTCATTGGCAGCCCTCCGACATGTAGCACAATTGCCCTTTGGGTGATCCGAATTCGAAATCCCAACTCGTGGTCTTTTCCCGATCCTGCCCAGACTTATCAAACTTGTAACCACATAGCAACATGCTAAAACCCACGTTTTTTCATGAGCAAAAACATTATACATTTTTTACAGAAAGTTTTTAGAATTATTTAGGATGTTGCATCACTATATCACTATCAGCAGTTTAAACCATTTAAATGACAATCAATACAAGCCGCAAACCTGTTGCATGAGTGATTAACATCTGAGGAACTTTGTGTTTAGGGCTCAGAGGACAATGAGGCAGTTAAAAACATGCGTCAAGACCTTGACAACAACCAGGATGGGAAGGTCGGCTTCCAGGAGTATATGAATCTGATTGGCTATCTGGCGCAGGCTCTCAGCGACCAGCGTTGTTTGGAAAAAGAAACACAAGCGGAGAGTTCAATCCAGGAGACACAGGCTGAGGCGGCAGCCAATGCACAGGCAGAGCCCAAGGCAGAGCCACAGGCGGCAAAGGAGGCGGAGAAAGAAGACAAGCCAGTGGTCGAAAAGGCAGCGGCTGAAGAGCAGAAGCCAGAGGAAGAGAAAAAAACAGATGTGGAACAGGAAGGAGCGAAAGTTGAAGAGAATAAAGCTGAAGAGAATAAAGCTGAAGAGAAGATCAAAACAGAGGAAGCGTCGTAGGAGCTTGAGGAAGTCGAGATTGCCGCGATTCAAATGCTTCTGTGTTTGTTTTATTCGTCATTTTCATTATTGTGATATTTTACTACATACATTCGAAACCAATACACTACCAATTTTATTACTACAAAGAGGTGTAGCCTTCTTAATAATACTAATTTCTGATCGTATGCAAATTCGTTCATGCCTGTGATTCATTTTTGTAATAATAGTGTGTGTGTGTGTGTGTTTGTCGACAGCCGCAAATGTGACAAATGGCCAAAGGGGTGCAATAACTGATCATTATGTCCTTTTATTTGAGCCAGATTTGTTGTAAGGGTACTGCAACCACTGTGTCCCCTCTCCAATATCTCCACAAAACATCCGTGAATGAAGAACAGACATCGCTTTTATAGCTTACATTTAGGCATTATTAAGTATCCATTATGTTTGTGCCACTTTCTCAGTCGACTTCGGTGCTAGTCGTAAATGTACTATGTATTTTCCAGTGTTGCAGAAGTGTAAAAATAGCACTTTTTCACCTCGCTTTTGTTTGATGAAATGCCCTTCTGCAGGAATTGATCATATTCCGTCGCCATTCAAATGTGGGACTTGCGTTTGTGGCGCACATGGGAACACTATGCAGTCCACATACTATGTTGTTCACATTTCCGCGCCTTGTTTGCATGAGAATAAACAGATTTGCTTTTGAATAATGTAGTTTTCTGGCATGCTTTCTGGCTTGTGTACTTGGATCTAACTCTTTCTCATGCTGTCCATCTTAGTACTTCGTCTCAAGAGCTGGAATATCAGATGCTTAGTGTGCTTATGATAGCTGACGCTCAATAATTAAAAGCCTTTGAGATGGAATCCACACCAGGGGACCCTTGTGGCCCCGCGGGAGCCCCAAGTCATCCCACAGTATTGGTTCACTAAGGTTAGGCCCCTGAAGACAGTTAATAAGATGGACATAAGAATCGCACTTCAGTAATCACTCGTTCACATAGGCATTAATTCTCTCAAACTATTTTAACCATATTGGCCTCCACATATTTAGCCGTTTTTCTTTTGTTTTTTGTTATGTGTTGGTCTCTAAAGTCAGGATATGGCTTTTACTAAACAGCTTTGCAAAGATTAAATGTCTTAATCTCTTAAAGACTGTATTAACATAATAATTAACCAGTTTCACTTATATTTTGCACTTTTAAACACATTTAATACTTGTGATATGATCACAACTAGCATGTTAGCATATGTTTAGCATATAGCTAGATACCCAGATATGGAACATTCTCAGAACTTTGGTTAATATTCTAGCAAGGTTGTGTTAAAGTTATTAACATTATTCCAGTAAAGTTAACGGGACAGACAGTTGTCTGGTCTTTAATAATGTTCATAAAACGTTGAGAAAACAAAAAACATTATCATTCATGGAACTTTTTTCCCCCTGAAACGTTTTAGTTGGACATTGGTCTAACATTTTACTAATTGTTTCAGAATGTTTAGAGAACATTTAAAAGTAACTTTCCCATGTTTGAAAAATGATAAAATGGAACGTTCCCTTAACATTCGTATAACCAAGAAAAATCTTTTTTAAAACATTAGAGATAGATAGATAGATTCAATAGCTAATAATATATTGATTAGTGACATTACAAATATTAATGTTGTATCTCATCATGTATTGACGGTTATGTCTATGTTAGCTAGACAACCCATGTGACAAAGGCCTGATGAGGAACCTTATCTTACTGTTCCTTGAATTTTTCACTAATTATCAATGATTCAATGAATTTTGATATCGCATCTAGTGTAAAGTCATAAGACATTTATGAAAGCAATAACATGGAAGAAGAAGAGACAAATGCACAGGTACTTTCACTATATAGCCATTAAAGCAGCTTACATAATACATTATACATACTACATTATGCATTGTACAGATATGTACCCTACAGTGAGAAATCCTACGCTGCCTAAAAAGGGCTCATTAAGATCATGCTAATGAGCTCTCGTTTATCTCATGCTGTCATGTATATCCTGGCCATCTAAAACCGCCTGTTTACTTTGGTGTGTCTGACTCCAAATCAGTCGTGTCTGGTGTTGCTAGGCCTCATTAGCATTATAACATCATCACACCTTATGAAGATTGGCTAACACTCACGTTCTGACCATGTTGTGTATACTGTAAAATTGAACTTCAACCTTGATGTTAATCCAGTTTTGTCAGTCAAACAGAAGTAGTTTCCAGCTCTACCAAAGGTAACATAAAACTGTCTTTTGAACAAATGCATGAGTTTTTCATTAAGTGTAGCTGCTCAATACTTCTCAACTGACCACATATTTAATTTTCTATGCTGTATGATTGACCATCTCCAGCTACTCAACAATAAAGGACTGTAATGCAAACTCCACTGGCCTGTAGAGTCTTCTTGTGTCGAGTCAACTGGCATGACGGGGTCAAATGGCCCTTATATTGGCAGGTGAACTAAAGGAAGAGAGTGTGGGAGGGGTGCCGAAACTGAAGATGCGGGAGATGCTCTTGAGAAAGGAGGGGGCCGAGTGAGTGATATTTAAACCCCAGAGGTTCTCTCTCTCCCCTCATCTGTTCCTCAGCTCTCCGGCTGTCTATCACTATCTCCTGCACTTCATTACAGACAAAGGAAGCTCTCCGTAGGCATTCAGGTAAGACAGACAGCTCAGACGAGAGAAAGGACTCCTTTCTCTTGCAGCAGAAAGCTAATTAAGTCTCTTCCGGATTGGATTATCTACTTTTCTGCTAGTCTTATTCAAATATGTTCATAGCTCAGTGCTACTACAGTGAAGTTCTTCTCATAAGATATAGATACAACCATGAATGTCTAGTCTTCAAAGTTAGAGTTAAACTAAGTTAGAGTTATACTAAGTTAAAGTCAATTAGAATTTTATTTGAACATAATTACCTTTTTATGGATTTTACACTGATCTATCAATCAATCTATCAATCTATCAATCTATCTATCTATCTATCTATCTATCTATCTATCTATCTATCTATCTATCTATCTATCTATCTATCTATCTATCTATCTATCTATCTATCTATCTATCTATCTATCTATCTATCGGACTAGTGCCGCACGAATACAGGCAAAGTGAAATACTTTCCAAAATGTACATTTTAAAATATATCCATATACAAATATAATCAAAAAATTTAAGTATCCCACTTTACCTGTATTCACTATACATGGCAATCCTTAATATATGGTTATGTCATTGATTTTGGTTCATGTAAAATGTCTTTTTTGGTTCTATATCATCAAATGAGTTAGATTCAGATTAAAAAGCATTTGTTCTTATGTAAATAAATGAATCTCTTCTTCTTTACATGTCAAAGAACGGTCAGTTTCCTCAGTGTCACTAGGTCACTTGGTGTTACGTTACCATTCTCATCTTGGTTGTCATGGCCTCACCGTGTCCGTTCTATTCTGATACGGCTAATGAGGATGCGCTTCTTGTTTCCTTCTGTCCTTCAAAAAAAATGTGCCATCATTTCACCTTTTAGCTTACTTTTTTCCAATTGTCTTATGTTCTATCTTTTGTTGCCTTATAGCCGCTTTGTCCTAAAAAGCTTACGGTTTTAATGGCTTTGCGAGACATTAAATCTATTCTGACCTTTCTAGTTAGTGTCCATTTCATGAACAATGGTTCTCGGTTTTAGTTCCTGAGAGCTGTAGAGTTCACCAGAATTTGTTCCAAATCCGCATGTTGCCATTTGAGCTTCCTAATTAGGCACTCTCTTAGCTTAACTAATTAGTTAAATTAGATGGTGTAGTACTACAAATAAAGAGCTGAGCGCAAGGCCTCAGAGTAATCCTGTCCAAAGTCTCAATTCAATTATGCTGCTCTTTAGTACAGACATGTAAGAAATGGGACAACGATAATGCATTTTACCATTGAATTAATCTTAATCCATTAGTAAATATAATTTCCGTAATCAAATACTGTCTAATCCTTTCTTCTTCATTTTAAACTATTTATTTTGGTTCTCATGATAATAGTCTACAGAACTCTTTCTTCCACTTAATTTTGGCCTCTATCCTCGAAATTAACTAATGGATTTGCTTTAGGACAGTTCCAGGTGCGTATTGTGTGTGTTTGCGTCTTCACGAGAGCCTCGGATTACTTGGAAGAAGCTTCCCTGGGGAACTTGCCAGTAGTTTTATCTTCATTTTGACAGTTTTATGTTTCACTTGTGGTTTCCATTTGAGAGATGCAGCCCCTGTTACATGAGCAACAGATGATTTAGCTGTGAGCAGGCAAGTGTTCACATACAACTAATGAGTGTTCAAGACAGAATACTAGAACAATTTATCTAATCATGATTAGGATGTACATCTAAATGCACCTATACTCTTAAAAATCAAGTTTTTGCAGTGACACCATAGCCTTTTTTCCACCCACTATAAAGAACCTTCTGTGCAATTGAAAGATTAATGGATGTAAATGGTTCTTCATGGGGAACCATCGACGCCATTAAAGAACCTGTATTTTTAACGGTGTATGTCTCTCATAAAGTGCCAAAACTTCAAAACCACAGTACTTAGAGGTCTAACGTTACCTCTCTGTGTATCTGTGACATCAAAATTACATGTTAAGTTGGTTTCTTGAAAACCAAAATCCAGCCATAACACTGAAGCAAAACGTTCAGCCTTCCATCAATACTTTTGCCAAATGCTGTTCATGCTCTTTCTCGTCTTCTGTTGCACCTCATCAATGACTGTGTCTGTTTCTACATGCGCAGTAGCTTGCTGAACCCGGAGAGAGAAGATCCGAGATGCCACGCTCAAAGTGTGACGTGTAAGAATGTTGCTTTTTGAGTGACAAACCCCTAATCAGAACCTCTAATTTTCCTCTAAATCAAATAAACCCCCCAAAACAGTAAGGATATTATCTCAAACAAATGACTGAGAGAACATTGTTTTCACCCATAGTCCAAAACGTGTGTTTGTGCCAGCATTGATTGAGCCAAAACTCCGCCCATGCTAGTCATGTGACCATACATGCAGCAGGCTCTAGCGAGGGGCGCGTCATGTCGTTGTATCTAACGTTTGAACTTTTTAACCAATTTACAGCATGTCCAAAGAACCAAGCTCCAACTTGGAAAGCGCCATGCAGATGCTCATCAAGACTTTTCATAAGTATTCCGGGAAGGAAGGAGACAAATTCACGCTCAGCCGAGGGGAACTAAGGGAACTTCTGACGGAGGAGCTGGGAAATTATCTTGGGGTGAGAATGATTATGCATAATTAATTACAAAACTTTTGTATCTTATTTTACTTTCATATATTGGCAAATTTCAAAGCCAAAAAACAAATAAGATATTAACCAAAAAAAGAGGGCGGGGCTTGATTTTATCCTTCAGGATTTGATTGGATCATGCAAAGTGGGTGTTCCAAATCAGAATGGAAGCATGGGTTTGGAAGGGAGGTGTTGAAAAAGATACAAAGACAAAAAAGAAATTTGTTTGGATTATTACGCACAATAAACAATAAGTCAATGAACATGTATTAAGAAATGAAATAGTAAATAAATCCATTTCAATTTACTATTGACTTCTTCAAAATTATATTATAGAGATTTTTTTCATCCCCCCCTCCCCCCTCCCCCCTACCTCCTCCCCCCTACCTCACCTCACCTCACCTCACCTCACCTCACCTCACCTCACCTCACCTCACATTGTTAAAATCTTTCCACATTAATTCTTCACAACTTCTGCAAAACAGATTAATTTAAATACCCACTAAAATGAATGTGACACAACCTGTTACACAAGCTCAGATTTGCATTTACTGCAAGTTGCAGAAACGCCTATATGATAACTTTTTACTGATTCAGTGACCCTGCAATTATGCCTCATGCAAACATCATGTAGCCTATGTGATTTAGCTTCTGGCTCTTTCAACTGAAGTGCACATACATTCCCTGTCATTAACATCCCAGAGTTCCTCCTTCACACTTTGCCATAATAATTTCTACTCAACTTAAAGAGTTTTTAGGGTCTCAAAATGAAATTATCACCACATATTGTCACTTTCGCCCCATTTGGATTTCTCTTTTATACATATTTAGCACATTTATATATACTTTATTTAAAAAAAAAAGTATATTAACCGTTGAATTTACCGACATTTAATTTAACCCTTTAATTCTAATTCTAAAAAACGAGTGAAAAACCTCTTCATATTAACACAGTACATAGGGCCCAGTAATGGATAGTAACTGATTACATGTATTCTGGATTACATGAGATTCCAAAAATTATGTACTTGTAGTTAGATTATATTATGTTTTAAAAAGCTTGTAATCAGATTACAGTTACTTTTTTATTTATACTTTACATATAATTCCCATTAATGTTGGTTAATGGTCACAAGACATGCAGGTAAACAGAATATATATATATATATATATATATATATACATATATATATTAGTAATTGTTATTTTTTATTTAACATTTTTATGATTGAAATTACTTATTAGCTTTTCATCAACTCAAGAACCCTACAGTTCCTTCAAAAACCCTAGTTTGGGAAACCCTGACGTTATGAAATGTTTAATGGACTTCATGTTGTTGATAAAGAATGGAATATATTTGGAATGGAATACATTCTCTTTGTATTTTCATTTCAATATGGTACAAAATAATTCTATGTGACAAACAAGTTAGGTCAAAAAGTAATAAAAAAGTAATCCAAAAGTAGTCAAATTACACCACCTAAAATGTAATCTAATAGATTACATAACTAACAATTTTCGTCATGTAATTTGTAATATGTAACAAACTACAATTTGTAAGTAATCTGATTAAGCCCTAATCTTACAGACGTTTATTATAGTGTTTTGATCCTCACTTTAAACTTTCTTTTTGTCTTCCCACAGAACGCTCAAGATAAAGATGCGGTGGAACGAGTGATGAATGACCTGGATTCCAATAACGATGGCGAGGTGGACTTCACCGAGTTCATCATCCTCATGGGGGCGCTGACCGTGGCCTGCAACGACTTCTTCCTGGACAGCCCGGCGCCCAAAAAGCCCGATGGCAAGGACGATGCGGCTACAACAGAGGAAAAGAAAGAGTAATGAGCGAATGCTTCAAAAACATAGAGAGAAAACAGAGAGAAGTATTAGGTTGCATGGTTGAGAACAAGAGAGTGCACAAGTTTCATCCATTTCTTTAATCAGAACCGACAAACCTAGTTCCTGGAGGAGATTTCTCTGCTTTTATAATTCAACACAAGCTGTTAATACACTTTTAAAGCAAAACTGACAAACCCCAAAGGCAAAGACTTGGGGGTTTGACAGAAACACACATCAGTGCAACTATTTTCTTTCTAGCTAATGAGAAGTTCTTGAGTATAAGGCGTTTAAAAATCTTTCAGGATGGGTGCCTTCTGTTTCATATGAGAACACATGACCACACACATTATATATGGCTATATAGAGTCTGTTTTTGGATAAAGATATAGCAGCAAAGTGTATTACGAGTGCAATCAGTGGCTACTTACTTGTAAGTGTCAAAGCCTGTTTAGACAGAATGGGATTGGAGATAGAGTGTTATGGACAGTTATAAATGCTCATTTTGAATAATTCTGAACTGTGACTTGACAAACAGATGTTGAGGGATTTATACTTACATTTTACACGATGATGTAGTTATAAATACCCTTTACTGTTGACAGCAAGCAATATTTCATCTACTTCATGGTTACCATAAATTCTGAACAGTGTTCATGATATATGAATCTAATAATTCAGAGTCGAAGATGTGAACTTGGTTTGTCTCTTTCTTTGCATCTATTTTTTAGCCTATTTTTATTTAATAATCAGTATGTATCTTCTTAATTATAATAAACGTGCAACTGACCTCCATGCATTCGTCTCATGTTTTTTTTTGTACTGTGATTCTTCATTTTTCATTAACATTCATCATATTGGATATAAGAAACGGTTTTCTGTTATGATTATTGATTAGTTATCTCTCCGATTAGTTTCGTTTAGTTTACTAGCAGTGCCCGGTTGCATAAACTGCTTATAGTCTTAAAAGTTAGTCAACTAATTTTTCACATTTTTTTAAAGTCAGTTTCATAAAAAAAGGTAAATTGGTCTAATTTAAATCTGAAAAGTAAGACTCATTAGCCATATTCCTCTTGTAATCTCTTATAAACATTTATCATATTGGATCAAATTATTTTCTGTTATGATTATTATAGTATTTTAAAGATTTCAGATACCAATAAATGCTTAATGTGATGGTTTTTTTTACATGAACATATACCAAATCATATTATATCATGCTTTCATTAATATCAAGCGGATCTAAAATCGTGAAAGTAATTATTTTAACACTGATAACTTAACAGTAGGAAAAATATGTGCATATAGTTTTGTGAACATTTAAAAATATATATATTTAAAAAGATGTTAAAATAGGCAACAGTAAATGTAATAAAAAGGTAATATTTTACATTTATTTGACAGTTATTTGACATAATTATATGTTTTTAATGTTAATTTGGTTGTCTTTATAACTGAACAAGACTCAGTTGAACTCATTTAACAATGAACTATGAGTCATTCTGTCTGTTCCAGCAAAGGTGAATCAAACAGCACAATCGGATCATGCCGGAAACAATGGCATATTTGCAGAAACTACTTTTTAACCTTTGAGTCCCCTTTAGGCAGAATTGTTGAAGTCAACTGCCTTTACTCCAGTGAAGTGCAGTAGACAAAACCTTGTTTAACAGTTGACTAATGTCTGAGATATTTATTATAAATCCACAAGAGTGGGGATTCCCAGTAGATGTGTGTAAATACTCCGCAGGTGCTTGCTTGAGCACATCCTGGACTTGTTGCTCACTTCCGGCTCAACCTGTTCAACCTGATCTACTAGCCATGTTTACTCAGACCCGTGAGAGAGAAACAATACGCAGAAACAGAACAGAACGCACTGCACAATGTCTGTGGTGATGCTGCATTCATACTTCAGAAGCTCAGAGCTCATCACTTGATTCCAGACAGTCATGTTGAATCAATTATGAATGGTATCTTTCATTTCAGTGATATAAGCATTTACTGGTTCATGTTACAGCAACTGATCACATGTTGTTGTATTCATTTTGCTCTAGTGAAACAAATCTTCTTGTCACATAGTGTGCTTTCTACAGGGATGCCTTCAGATGAAGATGATGAAGAACAAAGCTCACACTGCGTAACCTCATGTCATTCATTGAGATCTAAATCAGATGTGCCTGCACATGTAATGGCAGTGACATCATCAGCAGGATGGCTTTTACAAACCTGTGGTTGATACGGGAAGCATGTCGTGTATGCAAATAATCCATTGTGTAGAAATGCTTTTCTCTTTTTCTCTTCACCATTGTTGCAGTGCTTTTGTATTTTATAGCTTTTTCACTAACCTAATTTCTAACTTAATCTTTGCGTCCATAAAAAAAATATTTTTTATATAGAACTGTCCAAAAGTTTATTATGCTGATCAATGCTTCATTTAGTTTCAAAAACAAAGTAATATTGTGAAATATTATTACAATTTAAAGTTATTGTTTTCTATTTGAATATATTTTAAAATGTAATTTATTCCTGTGACGCAAAGCTGAATTTTCAGCATCATCACTCCAGTCTGCAGTGTCACATGATCCTTTAAAAATCATTCTAATATGCTGATTTCAAGAAACATTTCTTATTATTAACAATGAAAGCAGCTTAATATTTTTTGTGGAAACAGTGATACATTTTCTCAGGATTCTTTTATGAATAAAGTTCAAAAGAACTGCATTTATTTGAAATAGAAATCTTTTTTAACATTGCAAATGTCTTAACTGTCACTTGTGATAAATTGAATGTGTTATTGCTGAATAAAAGCATTAATTTCTTTAAAAAAGAAAGTTATATATATATATATATATATATATATATATTTTTTTTTTTTTTTACTTTCTAATATATATATATATATATACATAATATTTTTGACAGCTAATATGTGTAATGTTTCATCTTATTAATTCCTTTTTTTGCCACATTAAAACGTTCTTATGCCATTATCCATGCAGGATAATAATAATGCTTTCACACAAACAATTAAACCTATACTGTAAAAACATGAAGCAAATCTAGTGATTTTGTCTATATTAGTCTTCCTCCGCACTCTAGTGTTCAGGATAGTGACAGTCTTCTGGCCATGCATGGCTGAGGGTGTTGTGGCAGCTTTGATGTGGTGGTGTCACATGACCTGGTCCAGCAGGTAACTGTAGTGCTCCATGTCACCGTTATCTGGCTGTCTGGACCAGCCCTGACTGACACCTCAGCTTACCTCACGCGCTGAATGTCTTCACCACAGCCTCCATCTCTGCTTCTGACTCTCTCACGACAGACGTCCACCCGCTGATGATCTGCACTCACGATAACAACAGCAGTGTCCATATCAGTGTTAATACATGCAGACAAACATGAACTTCCCACACAATAGAGTGGATGCGCACGCATTCACAAGCAATGATTCGCTCAGCATAAAGCCCTTTGTGAAACTGTTTGACATTTTAGGGTAAATGTTACGTAAGATTTAGATTATAGATTACAAACACCAGCATCATCTCTATAGCATGTCCAATACTTCCTCATACTTTTTTGATACTGGATAGTAAAAAGCTACTATTACTACTTCAAAAATAATAAAAATAAGATACAATTATATATATACTATTTTGCCAAAAGTTTTGGACACCCCTCCAAATCATTGAATTCAGGTGTTCCAATCACTTCCATGGCCACAGATGTATAAAATCAAGCACCTATAGGCATGCAGACTGCTTCTACAAACATTTGTGAAAGAATGGGTTGCTCTCAGGAGCTCAGTGAATTCAAGCGGGGTACCGTGATAGGTTGCCACCTGTGCAATAAGTCTGTTTGTGAAATTTCCTCACTACTAAATATTCCATGGTCAACTGTTAGTGGGATTATAACAAAGTGAAAGCAATTGGGAATAACAGCAACTCAGCCACGAAGTGGTAGGCCACGTAAAATCACAGAGCGGGGTCAGCGCATGCTGAGGCACACAGTGTGAAGAAGACACCAACTTTCTGCAGAGTCAATAGCTACAGACCTCCAAACTTCGTGTGGCCTTCAGATTAGCTCAAGAACAGTGCTTAGAGAGCTTCATGGGTTTCCATGGCCGAGCCGCTGCATCCAAGCCTCACATCACCAAGCAAAGTGTCGGATGCAGTGGTGTAAAGGACGCCGCCACTGGAGTCTAGAGCAGTTGAGACGTGTTCTCTGGAGTGACGAATCACGCTTCTCTGTCTGGCAATCCGATGGACCAGTCTGGGTTTAGCGGTTGCCAGGAGAACGGTACTTGCCTGACTGCATTATGCCAAGTGCAAAGTTTGGTGGAGGGGGGATTGTGGTGTGGGGTTGTTTTTCAGGGGTTGGGCTTAGCCCTGGTTCCAGTGAAAGGAACTCTTAATGATTCAGCACACCAAGACATTTTGGACAACTTCATGCTCCCAACTTTGTGGGACCAGTTTAAGTATGGCCCCTTCCTGTTCCATCATGACTGCGCACCAGTGCATAAAAGCAGTTTGGTGTGGAGGAACTTGACTCCCCTGCACTGAGTCCTAACCTCCACCCGATAGAACACCTTTGGGATGAATTAGAGCGGAGACTGTTAGCCAGCCCTTCTCGTCCAACATCAGTGTCTGACCTCACAAATGCGCTTCTTTTTTTAAACCTTTATTTAACCAGGAGAGAAGACTCACTGAGATTAAAACCTCTTTTACGGGAGTGTCCTGGCCAAGAACGCTTCTAGAAGAATGGTCAAAAAATTCTCATAAACACATTCCTAAACCTTGTGGAAAGCCTTCCCAGAAGAGTGTGGGCAAAACTCCAATTAAACCCTACGGATTAAGAATGGGATGTCATTAAAGTTCATGTGCATGTAAAGGCAGGCGTCCCAAAACTTTTGGCACTATAGTGTGTATATATATATACTGCAATAATTATTTTGCAGTAATTATTATGTTTCTAGCATGTTCTATGTCTGGCAACAGTTCTTCTACCCCTAATTGATTGTGTATATTTTCATTTTTTAAACAACCATAGGAAGACACATCATGGCCATATTCCAGGTTGATAATGTCAAGATTCATCAGACTCAATTGTGTAAGAATGGTTGGGAGGGAGCATGAACAATCATTTTCACACATGAATTTCCATGAGTTTCGACCTCCATCGAAAGTCTTTGGGATGTGCTGGAGGAGACTTCACAGAGTGCTGGACTCAATACAAGATCTTGACCAAAAATTGATGCACCTCTTGATGGAAATACATGTTATAATGTTGTTTCCATTAAGAGGTGCATCAACTTACATACTGTCTGTGTAGACTCTGTATACGACTACACGTTTTCACGTGTTTGCCCTATCCTTAACAGCTGGTTTCTCTCTCTCTCATACAATATGCTTTTGGAGGATGGCTCTGTTCTTGAATTGGATCACTGCAGGCGTCACAAGAGACTGCTTATCGGACTCAGCTATCATGATGATGAAGTAAGAAAGGTAAAAAGAGAGGGATCTTAGCATACCGACCGAAAGGAAAGGGGGAGGGCTGGTGTCAATTCACCCCTTTTCCCTGCACGTTAAGTGTCTCTAATACCAGTGAAATGATACTGAGGCAACACTTCGTCCGTTTTTAGCAGCGTGTTTCCCTTCGGCTATCACGTATTGCTGCTATTCTACCCTTAACCTTGGGGGCCGTATAGACTCGTGTATATCTGATCTGCAAACAGTCATTAACCCCATTGCCTCTGTCACCCCTTCACCTAACCTTCACTGTGGTCTGAACCTGCCTATGACAGCAGCCCTAGATTAACAATTCATCTCGATTTAAGGTAATGCAGACAGTAACTCAATCCGGAGGCTAAAATTAACACTAATGGGTCTTGAAAAGGGCCTGAGAATACAGAAATCATTCATGAGGAGAGCTCAGGAAAGACGCACCAGGATGATGTCAATGAAATGATTCATAACTAATGCTCAAGGGTGGATCAGGGCAAGACGAATGACCGTGCACCTTTGGACCTGGACTGCATCTTAAATTTGCATTGTGTGATTTAATGCAATGCTCATCATTAAGTGAAGGCCGGTTTTTAGCAAGTCGATAACTATAAAGAAACTTATCCACCTTACTTTTAACAGCCATTTTATACATTTACCAGTTATTCTTAGCTGTAAAACCGCTCGTTATGCTGCTTGATATTGCAAATTGGTATTTCTTACAATATTTTTTAATGTACTGTCGTAATTATAAAGAAGACACTATTCTTCTAGTTATTTACCTATAGCAGATAATGAAGCGGAAGTCTCGAACATTCGCAGAAAATAACTTCCATGTTGCAAAACAAGACACCATTGCTCGAATCACGATAACGTTCATTATAAGTTTAGTCATCTGTCGCTCTAAACGCTCGAGCTCTTTAGCGTAGGGTGGATTCTGATTGGCTGTCAATGTTTTTATCAGCTGCGAAAAAATCTTTCTGAAATGATTCCAACGATATCGTTTAGTTATCGTTATACAACCCCAAAAAGTTGGGACATTTTGTAAAATGCAATAAAAAACAAGGATCTGTCATTTGTTAATTCTCTATAACCCGTATTTAACTGACAAAAGTACAAAGAAAGAATTTTCTAAGTTTTCACTGACCAACTTTGGTAAATATAAACAAATTTAGATTTTGATGGCTGCTACACACTCCAAAAAAGTTGGGACAGAGGCTAAATAAAAGTGAAAAGCTTATAGAATATCCGAGTTAAACTCGTTTGAAACAGATTCAGGGAATCCAGAGAAATCGTAGTCTGTGTAGGCAGGGCAAGGCAGGAGACCTCTGTTGAATGTGTGTGACCTTTGAGCGCTCAGACGGCACCGCATGAGAAACCATCATGCTACTCTGTTAGTTACAGTCACATGGCCTCGGGAGTTCTTTGGAAAACAGTTGTCACTTAAGGGATAGTTCAGCCAAAAATGAAAATTCGGTCATCAATTACAAACGTTCATGTCGTTCCAAACCCGTAAGACTCTTGTTCATCTTCGGAACACAAATTAAGATATTTTTGATGAAATCCGAGAGGTTTCAGTCTTGGGAGCAATTGATGATTGCTGTCTGCGGCTATATTATTTATTAATATATTCTAATCAGCATTTAAGAATAATCCCAGTTGCATTTGATGTTCCTAATTTTTAAGTCACTTTGAATAAATGTTTGTGGAAAATTAATTAATGTAAATCTTTTGTAATGAAATTTTATCGTATCCCTTTTTTTTAAAACCAACAGCCTCCTCAGAACCTCACACCAACTACTATGGTGATTACAGGAGACCCGTTTGCTGAAAGCAGCATTGTGGTTTTTCTTGATGGTGAAGAACTGCTTGCTGATGAACCTGATGACAGAACCAAGGGTGTAGGGCTTACTAGTGAACTTTCTGTTTCAATATAAAGTACAGGAAACCGACTTTTCTGCAGTATCTGTTGGCCATTCAGAAGGAGAACGTCAAGCTAGTTGTCCTGACGCTTATCAATTACTTCAAATCTCCCATGTGAATATTCCCAGAGTGAAAATGCTACCATTGACTGCACTGCAAATTGAATTGTACTGTTTTTGAGGAACCTGAAATATATTTTAAAGTTATAAGATATTTGAGTCCCATTTATCTTTTACAGTTTTGTCAAGATTTAAACTCTTAATGTAGAATAATATTAACATTATACATGTGCTTCCATGAATTAGATGTTTATGTATTGACTATTCTGAATGGATTTACTTATTGTCTATTGAACTTTTTATTCTATGGATGTTATTGATGTTTATCAATAAACAATGTTGGTTTTGTATTTGGTTTCAGTTTTTCATTTTGTTTATCAAAAAAGTAATAAATGAATACATTTTATTTATTAGTAAATAAAAGGGTGGGGGCAAGCAATAAAGAGGATTGGGAAATGGTGCCTTGAAGCACCGAGGTGGTTCCTGACCATTCTTAATAAAAAGGGTTCCTCAAGAAGCCATTAAGGTTCCTCAGAGAACTGCCTCTTTTGAAAGGGTGCCTAGAGGTTCTACAAAGGGTTCCGCCAGTGTGGCAAAGTGAAGAACCCCAAAAGGTTCCTCCAGGATCCTTTTATTTTTTACGGTGTGGTATGGGGGTGCATCAGTGCAAAAGGGCATGGGTGACTTGCATGTGTGTGAAGGTAACACTGACGTGGAGGAGTATATTGGGATTGCAGAGTCATTTAATGGCATCAAGACAACATCTTTCCTGGAAAGCAAGACAATGCCAGGCCTCGTTCTGCATGTGCTACAACAGAGTGGCTTCGTAGACACTCTATACTGAAGTGGATGTGCTTGAGTGCCCGCAGTCCAGATCTGGCTCTTATTGAAAATGTATAGCCCACCATGAAAAGGAGAATCAGACAATGATGACCACAGACTGTCTCGCAAAACTTCAACAATTACTATCCTCAATCCCCAAACATTTAAAAAGTGTAATTAAAAGGAAAGGTGATGTGACACAGTAAACATGCCTCTGTCCCAACTTTTTGGAGTGTGTTGCAGCCACCAAAATCAAAATTGGTTTATATTTACAAAATACACTTGGTCAGCGAAAATCTTTTCTTTGGACTTTTGTCAGTTAAATAAAGGTTAAAGAGAATTAACAAATCACAGATTCTTGATTTTCTGTCCCAACTTTTCTGCATTTTGGGCATGCTGCAGTTGTGGTGTTGACATTTAAAACGATTTTTACAATCATATCTTTGTCGTTATTGTTACAGTTATCATCCTTGGTGTAAACGGGCCTTAACTGACAACAAAATTATGGCAGATGTTTTCATAAATGAAAACGTGTAAAGAAAAAGTAGAAATTAAATGTCGAAAATGATTCCTCATCAAAGCTTTTCTGGAGAAAACAACAAAAATCTTTAGGCCATTAATTGGTTCAATATCAGACAACAAACCTGATATTGTACTTGCAAAATGCAAGCAGCAAGCAAGATGCATCATGCAAGAAGCAAACAAACTAACTAACTAAATAGTGGAATAATGCAGGATTACAAGCCTGTGAATTTATCTAGTTTCTGGAGTTAAATCAAGTTACTCTTAATTTACAAGGCATGCTAAGTTCATTTATAATGCACCACTTAGCCTATATTGTATTACAAGGGTGTACCAGCCTAGTGTGCTATTTTTAGGGCAGTGTGAAAGTAAGTATCATCCAATCAGTCAAAGCAGTAATATTTCAAGACAGTAAATGGAGTGGAAATAATAGTTCCGAATTGGTCTTACTGTTGTCCGGTTACTTTCACAAATGATGCCCCAATGTTATTTTCAGTGTTGGTTCTTTGTATAACCACTAGAGGTCGACAGAGACTAACTTTTAGACTACGGTAACTCTCATCTTTAGGTGAAAAAAAACAAGTTCAGGGGTTTTGGTTGAAGGTGTACAGTGTTAAATCGACAACAAGAGGGCAGGAGAGTCAGTGCTATACTTGTCTTGTTTATTACCTGTCTCCTGAGATCCAAAGCAGGGGAAGCATTCTGTCTGTCAGGGTGAACAGTAGCTTTTGTGTGTTGGTGTGATTTGGATTTGCAGCTGTTGCTAACAAGGAGTCTGAACAGAACTTCTAAGATGCATTTCTTCTCCTCTCCAGCTTGATTCCTAACCTAGTCGTCAAATAAACAATAAATAATACAATTTAAAAAATCCCGAATCGAATCCTGTTTTAAAACTACAACTCCACTCATGCAGCTGAACCATACAAGCATTCAGACCCGCCTATAACTGAATCGGAGGATTAACATTTTCTTTTTTATAAAACTGTCAGAGTATATTTCCTCCAAAATTCTATGCATAAGACCATAAACAATTTTTAATTTCACCATTTTACAACACCACTAACAGCAGTGAACTCAACGCAAAATGCACACCACAGAATCCCCCCTGCCTCAAAAGCAAAGGTGGTCTGATCTCGCACAGTCCAAAATGTTTATTACACGGGGGCGATGATAAATATCTTGAGCAGTTTCAGAACAATTATCAGGCATTTATCATGTTTACCTCAAGACAGTGTCCCAAGTATTAAGTTACATACGAAATAAGTCTATAACATCACTGTTAACGTAAACATTTAGTGAAAATCGCTTACTTGTTTTAGCCCGGCCTCCCCTATTTTCCACACATGCCCTGCGCGAATCGACTCCGGCTGTCCCTCTTTGTCCGGCAACGAGTAGGCCGTAATTAACATGGCCAATTTCGCGTTTGGGGATAAATATTAAATCGTAAGTCTATTTGACATTGATTGTTTGTCATATGCGGGTTGACATCCATGTCTTGATGCAACAGTCAGGTGTATATGAATGAGCTGTGTGAGCAACGTTTAAAGCCTTACCTTGCTTGCTGATGGCTAAACGGCTAACGATAGCTAGAACGCGAATTCAAATCACGTTTGAATTAAATTCAAACCCTTAGTGCGTCATTTACAGTCGCATTGCACGCTCGAATCTAACGCGCTTTAAAATGGGGAGAAGAGCTTGGTATGCTTGTATCTAAATGTCATTTAGACAGCCATCCAGGTAGAAACACATCTGTATGTGATCACATTGCAGGCAGGCAGATGTGTATTCACATTCAGTCCATCCCAATCACTTCTCTTCACGACTGTTTTTTTTAATTAACATTTTCAGACATATCTGCGATGCTCTACCAGATCGCATTGTTATTTGAGGGTGCACACATGTAACTGTTAAACGTTCAGAGATGACAAATCCGACTCAAAACATGAATGCATCTTTCAGACATGTTGCTGAGTAGGTGCCTGACCTCATTGGCCCGTCGGTACACTTAAAATTAAGCAATTCACGCGCAATTCCTGGGGCTGCGGGGTGATACTCGTTGGACCCGAGGAGCTTTTCGTCAAATAAACTAATTTCTGTAAATGAACGGTGTCATGGCACCGCACCAACAGTCATTTTAATGGCGGGACAGCAGGCGGGACAGAGTCAAGGAAAACGAGGCAAAGGTAGGAAACTGTCAATCAGCGCATCTCTGTGTCCGAGCGGGAATCCACACAGCTGTGGTGGCTGCAAATCTCCCTTTTCCCTGTCCGCACATGCCTGAATGTTCGGTGGCCTTGTTTTCGTGGGGATCTGTCTTTGGGTAGCTTTATGTCAACCTCGCATCACTTGTCTATCTACGCGTGTTCGTTTGAGTTTTTACACGCATTCCATTCAACTCTTTTTTCCTACGTATTTGCCCTAAAGCAAGCCTCTCACAGGGGGTCAGGGTTTGGGATCTCTTAAGGGTTGTATAAATGTTCATCAGCTTTAGAGTGTTGTCTTCAACAGAGATAGACCGATATTGCCTTTTTATGACTGCCAATTTTTATGACAGATTGACAGAAGTGTCTATTAACTGACTATGCAGAAACATATGTTTTAAATTCTTTTATTTCTGCTTTCTGATACAGGCTACAATCAAACTTTGTAAATATTTTTATATAGGCTAATGTTGTTATATGAACTTGACCATATCACAATTTGTTTGTGATCTAAATGGTCCCATATTTATTTTGGTCCTTCTAATTGTTAATCTACATTTTTCTCTTCAGAATGTATGTATGCGTTATTCGATAATTATTTTTTAAAACAACATTAAGTGACTTTACCTGTGAATACTGTAGTTAGGTTCTGGTCTTTAGAGACTGACCAAAAAGTGCTGTGTATTAGGGAACCCAATATTACGGAGTAGTCTACATAAAAATATCAGTCTATCTCTGATCTTTAGTTTCTTGTCATAAAGTTCAATAACATGGGATACACATTAATGATACATTTTTTAATGATTTGATGTGATTGATTCTCAAGAAGTGGGTTTATTGGAGGTACTGAAGTTGTCTCTAGTTTTTGCACAAAAATATAAAAGAAATAAAGACTTAATCAAGACAAAAGCTATCTACTACACTAAGGTTCACAGTTAATGTTAGCAGTGTGACACTATGACTAATTAAATATAGAATGTCCCTGCTTTCTAATACCACCTGACAAATTACAATTTAAGATTTTAGCACGTTTTTGATAGAGCTCAGAACTTTGGTTTTGGTCTAACAGCTACTGCCTCCCCCCATTTTTGTTTATCGTTCCCCTTTTTCCATTTGTGCCTCCACAGGTTCCCAGATGAAGAGCCCAGAGAAAAAGAAGAGGAAGTCCAATGCTCAGGTTAGTTTTTGAATATTTGGTTTTAATGCTTTTTATTTTATTTGTAGCCTCAGTTTGTTGCAACATTTGCTGTGTTAGTCTTTTAGTGGACTGACTTCCTCAAGCTGAATATTAGCAAGAATAGAATTTAATGACTATTAGTGCATGCAAAATATTAACAATATATTTATCGAATACAATATAAGACATTAAGTAAGTCAGTGTCAGCAACTCATTTTCACCCTTTGTATTTCCTGTTAGGGGGCGGCGTTTTCCCACCTCTCTGAGTTTGCTCCCCCTCCTACTCCAATGGTTGATCACCTGGTGGCCTCTAACCCTTTCGATGATGACTTTGGTCCGCCATCGAGATCTGGAGGAGGGGGTGGTCCGGGTGGTGCCGCTTTTCTGCCCAGCCCTGGGGCTGGTGGAGGTGGCTACGGTGGGCCCGTTCCCGGTCGAATGGGAGGAGGTATGGGGTTCATGGGTGGCCCCGGAGGACCTGGAGGTGGACAGCCCGGTCGACGACCCCCTTTTGGTCCACCAACACCAAATGCTGGACCACATCACCCTCTTGGATTTGGGGGCATGACAGGTTTTGGAGGTGGTGGAGGCGGAGGAGGTGGTGGAGGGGGATTTCCACCAGGAGGCCCATCCCAGTTTAATATGCCACCCAATTTCAGCCCTCCCATGCACCCTGGACAGGGCTTCAACCCAATGCTGTCACCTGGAGGAATGGGTGGTGGTCCAGGAGGTGGAGGAGGTCCACCTCATCCAAGGTTTGGGATGCCTCAGCAACAGCCTCCACATGGACAAGGTGGACATCCCTTCAATAGCCCACCCTTACCTGGTGGCCCTGGCCCTCGCGGGCCTCCACATGGGCCTATGAACCCTATGGGGGGTATGGGAGGTGGAATGAACATGATGGGAATGGGTGGTGGAGGTGGTGGGGTTAATATGGTGGGTGGACACCCTGGGATGCCTCAGCAAGGACAGTTCCCTCCTCCACAAGATGGCCCGTACCCTGGATCAAGTCCTCCTGTTGGTGATGAGGGAAAGAACTTTGGTGGTCCAGGTGGTGGTCCACCTGTTCCCTCTCAACAGCAACCGCCTAACCTTAACCCCTCCGGTCCTCCGTCCAACAATGCCACCCCTGGTCCGTCCCCAGCCCCTGGACCCCCACAGCCTGGAGGAGGTTTCCCAGGTCATCCAGATGTTGCACAACCCAATCCCAACACTCCAGGACAACCCCAGTCGGCGCCTCAACCCCCCAATCCCAACTCGTCCCCCACAGGCCCACTTAACGGTCCCCAGCCTCAACAAGCGCCAACCAATCAGCATCCTCCACCCAACTCCACTGGCGGTCCCGGCTCTAACACTCCATCCAACCAGCAACAACCAACGCCACCAAACTCCGCTCCAGGGTCAGCATCCTACAATCAGCAGAACAACGCTTCTGGAGGTCCAATGCCAAACCAGCCACCCAACTCCAACCAGAACAACCTTAACAACAGCAGTGGTGGAAACACCCCAGGTAGCAACCCCAATCCTCCATCCAACTCCAACTCTACACCCAACACCCAGTCCCCACTTCCCAGTGGACCCGCTCCACCATCTGCTGGCCCAGGCTCTGGTCCCCCAAAACTAGGTGGAGGCATGGTGTTCCCTTGTGGCCTTTGCTTGTCAGAAGTACATGACGACCAAGAGGCCATCTTGTGTGAGGCCTCTTGCCAACGATGGTTCCATAGAGACTGCACTGGCCTAACTGAGCCAGCATATGGGCTGCTAACTAGGGAGAGCGCTGCGGTGTGGGCCTGTGACTTTTGCCTCAAGACAAAGGAGATTCAAGCGGTTTATGTGCGCCAGGGACTGGGACAGCTGGTTGCTGCAAATGATGGCTAAGCGAGAGCGGAAGAAGGGGGAAGAGGGATGTTTGATATATTTCTTGGTGCTTCATGTCTTGTGTTTCACGGCGAGGAAGTGAAATGGAATTGAAGAATAAACCTGAGAACCAGAGGAGAGCAGACTCTGATGCTACTAGTTGCATTTGTTTCTTCACAGCCCTCATAAGCACTTTCAGGGCCCATGTCTTTGAATGAAACGCATTGTACCAGATGTTGGAAATGTTTGTATATAGAATATCATGACACATTTTCAAAATTCAGCTGTTTTTGATTGATGTTTCACTCATTGTCTTCATTTCAACTGGGTGACAAATTTGGAAAAGCAGCTTGATTCTGGCCACAGTGAAAAGCAAATTTTAATATCTATGTACAAGAATTTAACTTTTTGTCTTGTGTGTGATTATACACATGATCAGCCTCCAAAGAGCTGTCCAATCTTTTTCTCTTTCTTTCCAAAATCCAACTTCTTGATCTGCTAAGCACTGATGCCAACTTGCTACCTCAAAATTTTGACATGTCTGGCTAAGAATGCTTTGATTAAGGCAAGAGCGCACGGTCACCACACAACCTCTCCTCTCAGTGATTTCCATTTCAGTATATCCAAAGGAAACCGGCAGCGTCCTGACATATAAGACATGTAAATAATCAACATTTCACTGTGTCCGTTGTTGAATACATGGGCGATCCGACAGAAACTGGGGTCCTGCGATTCTTTGTCAATGAAACTAGATTGTTTCTCTTCATGGTCAGCTACTCAATGTTCTTGACACAAAAGTGGACAATGATGGTTGGTGGCATAGCCGATAGCGGTAATCCATAACCATATCAGTGTAGTCTTTGGATTGCATGTAAACCAATGCAGTACTTCGTCAGAACTGTTTTAATCGTTACTTTTACTGTTACGATTAGGCCACGTCCTGGGCTATGAAGTAGACCAAATAACAGAACGAAATCAAATGTTGTCGCAGAGAATTTCTTTTGTTTTATTTCTACATTTCTGTCCAAGTTGCCTTTTTCTTCTTTGTTACTCTTCATGTACCTGTGTGTATGCTGTTCAATGTGCTTGCTCTGGTGCCCTCCATTCGCCAGCGATGTGCAGTAATATGGGGGGTGTTCTGGGCTCTGGCTCTGTACTGAAAGAAGTAAACTGAATTGTTTTTTACAAGTCTTTTTTGTGACTTTTATTCTATTAAATTTGGGTTGAAAACCCTCTAAACTAAGTCAAGAAGTTAAGGATATCTGTTTTCTTTAAACATGTTAATTGTCAGCTTTTCTTCCTGAAGGGAACCACAATGAGATTCTATAAAGTAGTTTTTAAGAAAATAAATTAAATATAATATAGTGATTTTATTTGTTCTATATAAATATAATAAAATGATAATCAATTTGAAGGTCAACTCAGATGACTAATTCACCATGAGTTCCCTCTAAAATGTATTTAATTGCAGTTTTTATATGCGAGTAAAGTCTCTGGTTCACATTATTGCAAGAGATGTTTTGTTTAACCTAAACATTAGTCTTGCATTTTGTAGCTGCTGTATTTAAAAAAAAGGCTTGTTACTAAGAAGTTGCTATGCAAGGACTGCAACAGTTTGAAAACCACATAAACTTGACTTCTTGTGGTAGTTGTAGTACTTTTTAGAGACGTTTTAGCAACTATTTTGAATTGTTGACCAAGTCTTTTGAAGTAATATTTACCACAGACTTTATTTTACTCCAAAAATAAAATAAAAACTCCCATTCTAAAAAGCAGAGGAAACCTATGTCTTGAAAATGCAAATATTTATCCCGGTTTTAGGACTACCAACTTGATAGTAATGCTACAGCAAGCTGTGGATGGCCTAACTCATGAAACACGAACAGAACAAATGTATAAAACATTCCCAGATCCATGATTTTACAAATGAGTATGTTTTTCTGATATGAGGCCCAACCTATACGAAAATGATCTACTATCAAATATTCACATTTTCCATTTTGAATATACTCAAATAAACTGATGTATTAGCAAATAAATCTTCATAACAAACTGAACATTGCATGTTTTAAAATTCTTAGATTATCTGACTTTAACCATTATTTGTTATCACCTTAGGATAAGCGTTTAGGCTATTTTTCTTAGAAAATTGCATTTCAAAAATGTATTGTGTTTTTTATATTTTATATTATTTTGTTTTAGGGTTACACAATCAAAATGCAGTTTTAACGGCAATAAACAGTGGATTCGGGTTACTTAAATTGGTTAATGGGCGGGTCCTGAATAATTTGTATTAGATTGACGTTGGATATTGGCCAATAACATGTTCCCATCGGTCGGCCTTGGGACAACTCTCCAGCCAATGAGCGCTCAAGAGGGGCGGACCGATGACGCAAAGGCAACAGGTTGTTTCGGAAAAAACGCACTGACAGTTTTGCATGGACTATTCATCCTTGTTCTCAACTAAGAGTTTTTAATAGCGACTAAACCTAGAAAGGGCTTTTTTATTATTGTGTGCCTTCTGAAGGTCATTGTTGAAGGTTTCAGAAAACAGGTAAGCAGAAGGAATGTCTTTGTTTACTCAGCTGTGTACATTTGCCTTTGGCTCTCTGGTTTTTGTTTTTGTTCATGGCTGCGGGTTTGTGTCCAGCCTTTGAGTTCTTATAATCCATAATCACATGGCTTCAAATTTACACTCAAGTTCTGCTGAGCGAAGCAGATAAACACCTGTTGCTTTGTGTCTGATGGCTGCAGGCTGGATTACAGTGAAGATGCGCTGGTCAACGACTATATAATAAAGTAAATTACTTTGATCTCCCCTACTGTGATCTCACCGGGACCGATCAGCATCATTTTTGTAAATTGTTTGTAGACAGCGTTGCGCATCCCATATTATTGGAAGGGGTCTTCGGTCTCAAATAGCCTATTATACATCTGTCTGTCTATATTGCACTTTTGTTTCTGTCTCTTTAACAAAGTCAGAGGACAACACAGCTAATCAATATATCCAAACTGTAGCCATAAAGTCTTCATTGTAATATTAATGTAACTGTATATTTAAATAACAGCGGGTTTCGATCCCGCCGATACTGACTGACTCGCTGGGTGGGTGTGACGCAATTTACAGGACTACCAAAACAAATTTTCATTCTGCATTTTGCTTGTGCTTCCTCATCTCTCTTAAGTCCGTGAATAGAGACACTAGGGACAAAAAGTGCCTGTCTCAGTGTAATTTAATATTTAGCTCTTGGTTATTTCCTATGGAACATACTTGTAAATGGAACAATAACTCAAACATAGTCTCAAACCCAAATTCTATCCTGTACTAGTACATAAACTGGCAAATAAAATATAAATAATAAAATTACAATTAATTAATTGCAGTGAGTAAGTTAAGTGCACAACCTATGAGTCTTTGTCCACATTGGCAAATATGTAGCGATAGTATTTTGCTTATGCCTATTGTTTAAAACTTTGATTTCTCTAATGAATATTGTTTTGTTCTTGTTTATTAGCTTGTTCTTGTTTATTATCAAGTCATCAAGCTACATTATTTTGTCAACAAAAACTAGCCAAAAGCTATCATATTACATCAGTGCTTGGATATATCCAGTTATGACAGAGTTCAAAGCATAGGCTATAACCTAAGCTTAAATAATCGGGATTGGGTGTTTAAGGTGATAAGAAAACCATTATTCTAAATGGAGCTTCACTTGTTTTCTGTGAGAGTACTGCTTTTTCTTTTATAAATATGCCCTTTTATTCCTTCCATACTGTCATAATAACATGTTGTGTTTTATTATACACAACATTAGCTTTGTCCAAAAGTAGTTGGCCATGGCACTCTAAAAATGTCTTAATATCTTTAAATGGCATTAGATTGCTAAGTATCCAGCATTTGTATTACAGAAAGGTAGCACACATACACTTTTCTAGCAAAACATAAATTAAACAATGTGTATTCTCTTCAGATTGAAGACAAAAAGTATTTGTACACTTTCTGGTTGACACGTTTGTGGAACGTTCACTGTCAAAAAAAGTTGCTGCCTTATTATTAAGTACAATCAACTTGGCTGTTAAAGTCATTTAAACTTAATATTAAACTGACTTAAAGATTAGTAATCTTGTATAACATAACATTTTTGAAAATTGCTTAACTTATTTTGATGAGTTAAAGTAATGTAAAAACATATGTTGTCATATCTTATTGATCTGATCATATACTTTTTTACAGTGTTCTTGTGGTTATTCTGCTTGGACACCTGTGTAAACCTGAGGAGAACTAACTGCATAAACCCAAGTGAAAATAACTTTGGGACCAGTTGGGTAAAAGTAATTAAAAGTATTAAAGATGTTATAAGTTGGTTAGAAAAATGGCATGGTTTTCAGATAGCACAGATGCTACTTGGTTAAGAGTCTATTTTTTGGGGGCCCATGTAAATTCATTTACATTACGTTTGGTGACAATTTGAAAGTATTGAAAAGTAAAAAAAAAAAAAATTGGGCTAAAGGCAGTGTTTTCATAATTGACAAAGTATTTTCCCTAGCGTCAACCAAGATAACAATTAATGGATTAAAGCCAACTAGTTTCAAACATAAGTACCCTTAGGATATTAATTCTTTCAAAGAAAGTGGAAACTGATACAGATTCCCAAACAAATCTGTTTTAGGTTTTTGTTGCAAAAAGCTATCAACCAAAAAAAAAAAAAAAAAAAAGCAGTCGGGGTGAGTCATGTTAGTGTATCTGTTATTACAAACCTAAAGGATCTGTTGTAATGATCATTTATCTGTAACATAGTGCATACTGTGTATGTGTGTGTGGTTCAGGTATTTCCTACGTTTTGGGGACAAAATCTCCCCACAAGGATAGTAATACCAGAAATATTTGATCTTATGGGGACATTTTGGGTCCCCGTGAAGAAAACCGCTTATAAATCATACTAAATTATCCTTTATTTTTATTTTTTAGGTTGTATGTGTTTAGGGTTAGGGGATAAGATATAGGCCTAGGCTACAATTTGTAAAGTACAAATCATTATGTCTATGGAAACCCAACGTGTGTGTACTGTACACATTTACATAATTCATAATTATGCTTTTTATGTGTATAGTCATACATACAGAACAAAAATTTGAGTGTGGTTTGAGTTTTGTTACTTTCCAGGTTATTCACTGATTCAAGTAATCAAATGAAAACGGAAGATTATCAGTACAGTATCAGTATACTCTCGGATGTACATCACAATATGGAAGAAAAGACCTCTTGCTGCTTATATTTCATTAACACTTTAAATATACAAAATTATGAGTGATACGTGTGACAAAACATTAATAGTAGAGTGGTTGAATTTAAAATTGAAAGGTGTTTATTTACAGTAAAATGGAGTATCAGTAAAAGATAAGCGTACTAATTATTAACATGCTAAATCAAAGACATTATTTTAGACTAATGATTAGAAATTATAATGTGATATGACATTTTTTCCTACATTTTGGTAGAACTAGTCTATGTTGCGTTCATTAGGTGGTACCACCATAAATGTTAATTGGTTAATTACAGAGAAATCAATCATCACATGCTTTAAGTCATATGTGCAATACAACTTTGACTTAACTTTACTACTTGAATAGAAGATTGCACAGAGAAATGATGATCTAGTCTAGTAACATTCCTTCAAAGACAAAAGGTTGAACCCAGTGCCTTGCATTCAGTGAGAATCATGTCCAAATACCCAAACCTGGAAAACTCGCAACTGTGAACAGTTTTCATTTGGCTACTTTGTGTGTATTTTTGTCAAAAATGTACAGTTAAAAATGTACTTAATCTCCTTTAACCAATGAGAAATCACATGGTGGTTCCATTTTGCAGGAATGCTTGGAATCCCACCTATGCGAGGAAGACAATGGCTTACTTTGAGTAGCTAATCAGACCTAATGCTTCAACAGTGCCGCTGACAGTTATAATGTAACCAAATCCCCCCATTTCAATAAGTTATTCATTGATAGACCAGAGATTATGGACTGTTATTTTAGATCTCATTGTCTTCTGAGTTTTTGCCACCAGTGTTATGCTGGTGCATAGTAACTTGGTGTCTAACACAGGATGCAACATAATACTTATAACACACAGCAATTCTTCTAGAATTCTTGATTTGCATGGATACTGCAGATTGAAATGGTTTCAAGACTTCAAGCAACACACTCTCTGATGTGTTGTAATAAGGGCTTTAGACGATGCCCTGCATAGCTGTGGATGTTTTCTGCATCACATGTTTTGTACAATAGAGCATATATGCGTCTCTATAAACACCAGTTACTCAGCAGATTAGGCTCTGCATTTTTGATCCTTCACTTCAACGTGCCATGTGTGCGGCTTACCGCTTTGATATGATTTAAGGAATGTTGCCTTCACAGTGATAAGCTATTTTTGAACTAATGTTACTGCTCGTATACTGGAACTGTGTTCTAGGAAAACGGGAAGACTGGAAGCCAAGTGGAATGTGCTAGAACCTGCTCCTATCAGCAGACACACCTGTTTGTCACACACAAACAATATCTTTCTCTTTACAAATGTGAGAAGACTCTCAATACCTGTGCCGATACCTGATAGCTGTGTCGCGTACAAAACTCCTGCATATTTCTATTTATCAAGGTGTGACACTATATCAAGCAGTGGGGAGAGGATTGTTAAAGGGTCTCTTGGGAAATTAGTAAAAGTAATAGTCCAACTCAAATTTAAAAAGTGAGCCAAGATGGAAGCAGCAAAACTGTATCAAGTCCTGTAGTCCTGTCCTGTGGGACTGAAACAAGAAGTAGATGCCATGTCTAAGTTTACATGAATCAAAAGTCTGTTCGGGGTTCTGCTTTGTAACCAGATGCAGACCTTTGCTAAGAATTTCTAGTGGACAAAATATTCTGGATATTGTAGGTTGTTTTTCTTTCGATCAGACTGTACATCTATCCAACACAGCCTTGTTTTCACATGTGAAAAATTAAATATGAAGTCTGCCCTTAATTGGTTCATTACTGTCATGCCACCTTTGTGTATCTGTCCTCACTTTGGGCTCCTCAATTAGTCCACAAAACAGTCTAGCTTTTTAGTCTGGTCTCTAAATGGACTGGTGCAGTGACTTACTAAATTCTTTGTCTTGGTACCATAGCAGGTCACAATGAGTTCCCTCTCAGCAGACAGGAAGCCCCCTCTGGACTACGGCGTACAGATCCGCTTCATCAAAGATTTGGACGATGCTGGCGGAGGGTTCCCAGACAGAAGTCGAATGGCTGGTGGAGTTGGTGTCAACAACGGGACTCTTTCGCCGTCTAAGTATGGAGTAGCTGTGCGGGTGCAAGGCATTTCAGGACAGCCGTACGTGGTGCTCCAGGACGGAGAAAAGGGAGACTCTTACGGGGTACAGCTGAAGACTCAACCACAAATCCAGAGCTCAGCCCCAGTTGTCTCTCAGACTTCTCCATACAGCACCCTGTTTCTGGGACAAAGGGAAGGGGCTCGAACTCCCCAGGGTTCCTATATTCCTGCTGAACAACCTAGCTCTCCTGATGAGGAATTTGGTAGCCCTTTAAGGAGGCCACCTGGTGATGGACAGGCAGGGATTCAAGGAGAAGCTGAGGCCAGGACTACAGGACGCCTTACCCCTTCTGCTCTTGCTTCTAAGGTGGACAAAAAGGACAATGATGGCTTTAATGAAGCAGGGCTTAGGAAGGTCAAGCAGAATGGGACTGGGAGTAGTCTGAATGGAACAGGGCTAAATGGATCGTTCCCTACTCTCCCAGCCCCATTGGATGAGGACAAGGCCCCAGCTATAGACACAAAGTCCCTGGCTCCCATTAATAAACTCATTAGCCGGTTTGGTGGTGGTGGTTCTGGTGATGTTCCCATCTCAGAATCCCGAACTCAGCCTCGTCTTGATAACAGACTTCGGTCTCACAGTGTGGATGCCCTTAACAAACCTACTGATGAAGCCCCACCAACTTCCCCAACAATAAACCCCTATGCTTCTATTACCCCAGCTGCAGTGCCCAAACTCAGCTCACCAAAACCGTCAACCGGCAGTCTAGGACGAGACTCCACATCTGTGGCTAAAGTGGCTGCTATACCCAATTCCAAACCTCTCACTTTTAGCCAATCACCAAAGCTGTTTGTGCCCAAGGAGGCACCACCTGCTATTCCAAAGAAACCAGTGAGTCCTCAAGATCTTGTTTGTATTATAGCCTTTTGACCTCATAATTTTTAATCAAAAGGTCTTTACTGAATCTTCTGGTGCAAATGAGTTTTCTTTGGTGACATTTACTTCAAGCCCTTGAAGCTTGTGTTTATCAGCCTCCACTTTTGAGTGGAGTGTAACTAATCCCAGCCCTATATATTTTTTTCTTTTTTGATATTCCGTTACACTTGGATGTACGTCACAATATGGAAGAAAAGATCTATTGCTACTTCCATTTCATTGTGACTTTAAATTATTATTATTATTTTTTTGGAATAGCATGGCAAAAATGTTCTGAAAGTTTAGCCAATCATTTCGTAAGTTCTAGATTGCTGGCATCGAGTTGGCTAACACGCCTTTGGAGGGCGGAATTTGGAGAGGACGTAATCTCGCACCAAAGTTACACCTATGGTTGAAGAACCGCCTCAAAGTTTTTGATTGGCCAACACGTTTTTTGATTGGCTTATTTCTCTAAATATCCATTTCAGTGATGTCTGTTAGGTAGTAGGGGCATTTTATGTATGGTATTTGAAAAATAATGCTCCTTCTGACTTTTTTTCAGGTAACCCCTGACCTCATAAAGAGCCAGACCACCAGTACAGAGAATGGAAATGGAGAGGATGCCCAGACTAAACAAGCCATTTACAACATACTCAAAGAGGGGTACAATAATACTTTTATTTTACCAAGCCTCACAGTTACCTATGTACTTTACAGTATATGAAGTTAGTTTAGTTAATGCATAAAGACAGACTTCATGCTTTTATAAAAGTTTTGCTTTCACATAACAATATTACTGTTGACAGCTGTAATACTGCACGAGTGGCTCGAGAGAATTGAATCATATTTTGTAAGTTTACACTCTGTATTGCTCATACTTGGAGATTAGGGATTTGAACAAATAGCAACATGCTAAAAACCACTCTGAAAACTTTAGCAAGATCCTAACATCCAAGCAGAGTACTAACATGCTCAAAACCACTTAAAACACCCTAGCGACTTCAACGCAACCCCACCATCTTAGCATTTTGCAGTTTTTTTTTCTGAACATGCCATAATCTTTTTTTTTTCCTCTGGTTCATTCGATTTCCTTTCATATTTAACACTAGGTCTATTGAGAGCGAGGCGGCCATCAAACGCAAAACGAGTCTCATTCATGAAAGGTTCTGTGAGGTGAAGGTAAGCATGCTCATGTTCAATAAATCAGTTTGCATTTCCCAGCAGTGCTCAGCAGCATTTGTTGAATGAGGAAACTACATCCAGAGAAGGCGTGTGCGTGCGTGCGTGTGTGTGTGTGTGTGTTTGTGTGTGTGTGCGTGTGCCCATGGTTTGCGTATCGCATCCCTGTTTTGCATTGCGAGTGTGTTTTGAAAGTGACAACGTAACACAGAAAGATATTCTGAGACCGTGAGAGAAGATAACAGCAACGAACGACTGTATTTTACAAGCACACTCCTTTATTCATAAAGATAGAGTTTTAAATGGGCAATAAGCATTATAATTATGTGTTTTAAAGAGAGATCAACCAATTAGAGACTTTATTTAAAGGGGGAGTCATTAACTCATCCTCATGTCATTCCAAACCCATTTGACATTTGTTTTGTGGAACACAAAAGGTGACTTTGAGGAAAAACCTGGCAAATATAATTTTGATTATAAATTAATCGATTAAATTTATTTATTGAATGATCAAGAATCAAGCTCTAAAATAACAAATATGTGCTACAGTATATTTCAAGTTTTCTGAAGTCATATGATAGACATTTCAGGCTCAAATTTAATTCCCTTGTTGCGATGTCCAATTTGTGAACAAATTCTTTTTGAACAGTTTGATTCTGTTCACAAAACCAGTCTGTGTGATTTGTTCATGAATCGGACTGATCTGGTTCTCATAGCACACTAGAATGGCTTATCAATGAAAAACCACTTAAATTCTGTTCGTTAAAGTTTGTTGCACACACAAAGCTATCATATGACAACAAAAGACTTGATGACCACTTTAATGTTACTTTTGTGGTGCTTAACTGCCCCAGTAAGTAAATCATTTTCATTTTTGCGTGAAGACAGAGCGCTTCTGTATGTTCATCTATCTAGTCTTCCTGTGTACACATGCTTGCATGAATGTGCGTTTCTGTTTTAATATTGTCAGCCTACGTGTTTGCATAAGCTTCCTGTGTGTTTGAAATATCCTCCTACAGTCTCTTGGCAACCGTCGCATCAACGAGGAAAGCTGATTAGGGCTGCGTGGTCGAGAGCTCGCTCTTTGTGATCCATCAATAATTAAGTTACACTGGAAATGGATACCTGTGAGGGAGGGTTTCCCCTCGACCCGGGGGCCCTCAGCATGTCTGTTTGGGTTACGGTTTTAATGGGCACATTAGTTGTACGGCCTTTTGCGCTGTTGTATCCCACTGAGAGCTCGTCCATGCATGATAAACTCTGTTGTTGTGGGCAGTATTGCCGGGAGACGTTTTGACTGTTGTGAATTAAGCTTATTAGCGTGGAGTAAACCTCGTCAGATGCTTGGAGATTTTAGTGGTCAGACTGTGATTATATCATTCAAAAGTTTGGGGTCAGTAAGATTTAAAAAAAAGAAGAAATTAGTACTTTTACTCAAAAAGGATGCATTAAATTGCCTGGAAAGTGACAGTAAAGACATTTATAATGTTACAAAAGATTTTGCTATTGAACTTCCTATTCATCAACGAATTTCTTAAAATAACAATAAAAATATATCACGGTTACCACATTAAGCAGATTTCAACATTGATAATAATAATGACATGTTTCTTGAGCAGCAAATCAGAATGATTTCTGAAGGATCATGTGACACTGAAGACTGGAGTAATGATGCTGAAAATTCAGCTTTGCCATCACAGAAGTAAATTACCTTTTAAAATATATTAGAATAAAAAGCAATTATTTTAATATTATAATTGACAATGTTTTCTTGTATTTTTTGATCAAGTAAATGCAGCCTGGGTGAGCAGAATAGACTCCAAAACATTGAAAAAAATCATGCCGACCCCAAGCTTTTGAACGGAAGTTGATCCTTTTAGCTTATGTGATGCCGTTAGGTTATATAGCAAATGCTGGGATTAAAGGATTAGTTCACCCAAAAATGAAAATTAAGTCATCATTTACTCACCCTGATTTTGTTCAAATGCCGTATGCCCTCTTTCTTTTTCGGAACACAAAAGGAGAATTAAAAAAACAAATTCTGCTCGCTCTCGTCCATATAATGGCATTGAATAGTGACCAGCATCAAGATAAAAAAAAAAAGATGCAGAAGTATCTCAGAATGGTCCTATTCGACGGGTGTCATATATTCCAAGTGTTCTGTATACAATAGGGTTTGGTGAAAAACGAACCAAAATTGAATGTTTTATTTAATGAAAATCCTGACCTTGGCCGTTGGTCTTCCGCGCCCAGCTGCGCGTTCATGAGACACTATTAGCGTCACAGTTCATTCCAACTTTCCCAGAATAAACACACAAGGCACACAAAAATGTGACACAAAATACATTTCATAAACTTTCTTCTCTGATGTGAATTTATCTGTTGTGTTCATCGCAAACAAGAATACAAACTAAGTTTCGGTCCAGAGATATTCAACTCATTTATCACAACTTATGTGTGTTTTCTGCGCGTGTCTGTATGAACGTGCAGTCGTGTACAGAAGAAATAGAAATTTTTAAATAGTACATTCAATTTAGTTTTTTTTAAACCTAACCTACTTTGAATATATGACACTTGTCGCATGGGGTCATTCTGTGATACTTATGCATCTTTTTAAAAAAGTTTGATGCTGATCGCTATTCACTGCTATTATATGGACGAGCGCAAGCGGGACATTTGAAAAATTCTGTTTAAAAAGAAAAAAGGCATAGTGCTTATAACAACACCAGGGTGAGTAAATGATGACTTAATTTTCATTTTTGGGTGAACTGTCCCTTTAAGAGAATTTTTTCTAATTATTATCTACATGGCTAATTGTTTTGATTTACACTTGTGCTAGAAGTTTACTTCTAACAACATGACTTTGGGTACGTCTCAATCACCTCCCTAGTTCAGTAAGGGCACTGATCAGGGAGTCGGACATTTTAGGGGCTGTCTCAGTGGCAAAATCCTAGCAGTGCACTGACACAGGCCCTGTCCCAAATGGCGCACTTCATGCAGAGCTTCGGTCTCGTGGACTTAAATTGCGCGTGCTCGCCGAGTCTACGAGTCCGTAGGCCGTCCCATTTAGCATTTTAACGCTCTGAAGTGTGCTCAGCAGCGCCCCCTTTGTACCCTTGGAAGCGGTCTTCCGCGAAGCCCGCATAGATGCAGGCTCTACGCACTTTAACTACCCAGGAATCCTTGCGAAAGGCCAATCAGACAACGGATGGGAGGAGATTTCGCTCACGGACAATTGTTAACATGGCTGAGAAGAAAATATAAGTGTAATTATCATTACGGTTTTTATGACAAGTTTATACAAACATTATGATCATCGACCAGTGGTTGATGTCTCAAACATAGGCTAATAATAGCGAGCTTAATAATACGATCACATTATGATTCATTAAATAAATAGAACAGAATGTCAGGGCTTTACTGAGTCATATGTAAACACAACAACAATAGGCAGCATATTTCCCCGAACCTGTAGCTCCTGTCCATAACAACAATCAGACCATCTTCCTGTTTCCGGCGTGACGATCGAGTCTGTCCCAAAAATACCTCTCAATGCGCCCTCGCGGACTCACGCTAAGGGCCCTATAGGTCTGCACTACATGACGTCACCGAAGTGTGGACTCTGAGGAAGTCCACAAGTCCGGAGTGTGCCATTTGGGACAGGGCCATAATCGCTCGCTAAAAAAGTCCCACAATGCACTGTGAAAACCAGGGAGCATTGATGTTCACTATGTTCCCTTAACGCAAGTTCTGAAGTGCGAAGCATAAATCACATGAGCCAACTCAACTACACATAATGACACGCGATAGATGTTTTAAAATACAAACCATTATTTAATTATATTTCAGCATAAACATACATCGCTAGACAGGTAAATGAACATAATCTAACTAACATTTATAATTTACTTACAGCTGAAATGTTGCACGTGTATGTAACAAGCAATGTATTTATCATAATGTACTTTAAATAACATTAAAAAAAAACATCAGAAAGATATCAGTTTTGCTGTTGTTCATAAATGCCAGTAGTGATTTTGTTGTACAATGAGGATGTCATGTCCCCAGAAATAGTCATGAGTGTCCCAGTGTGTAGTGAGCCAGGGTCCTTACTGTCCTTACCAGTGCCCTAATTTATAAACACTAAATACAGATTCATGACTTCAGAAGCTAGGGAGCTGATTGAGACGCACCCTTCAATTGTACTTTAATGTGTTCTATTTTATTCAAGAAGTAACTTTAGACCCTGCAACACAAGAGGTCAGTTCAAATGACCTCGTAGTAGCCATGTGTGGTCATTATAATGATGGCAGCAGCAGTTGAATGGTCAGATGGGATATCCTAGAGGACTGGGTTATTTGAGGAGCAGACAGCTTGGCTACAGGCGGTGTGTGTGTGTGTTTTAAAGATGTTTCAGATCAAATTGTTTTATGTTTCGGTGTGCTTCCTCATTAAGATCAGCAATGTACATTTGTAAGATGATTAATTTAAAACGTATCTGTATCAGAGTCAGTCAGAATCTCCCCACAGCATTTTTGTGAATTATTACTAAAGAGGTGATTGGCAGTAAGAATAACTTGTGAAGTGTTGATACATTAGATAAGACAGGATATATTGATTCCTGAGGGGAAATTCAAGGCAAAATGGCTGGTGTAAGATGAATGCATAGCCCCGAGATCACACCGATCATCCTCCTTGTAGAAATGTGCATGTTTGTTTCGGGCTGCAACTTGTATGAACAAAGCTACATGTGTTCTGCTTTGATAAAGCATGTTGAAATCAGTTTTACAGTTCTTAACACTTAGAATTATAAGTTGTAGTTTGCTGGAAACCACCAGACCTGAAGTATACATGTTAACATATGACTGTGTGATAAAATCACTTAGTAATCTTGTCTGTGAAAAATTATTAAATTAATTCCTCCTGTCATAACCACGTTCAGCCAGTTAACCCTGTAACTTTCATATACTGCACGCAAGGTACCAGGAAAGAGTTTTTACATAGCAAAAAAACTTGTCACAGAATTTATGTCAGTAATGTTAGCCTGTTCAGCCACCTTGAACAGTAATCCCACCGGTTCAAGAATGAACTTTACAGCTTATAAAACACATTTGTGTGTGGGAAAATTACGATAAGTGCTTTGTTGAAAATATATAATTCTGTTTTTAAACCTACTGGAATGTTTTCGTCCATAGACTTCCATTGTAAATGCATCAGTGTTTCTGTGGTAATGAACAGCTTGCTGTGAATAGAGATATATTGGTTACGAACCTAGGCCACTCCATTAATTGTTGAAGCTTATTTGGATTTGGTTTTCCACAGGGTCCTCAGATCTTAGTGAATGACAGCAATATGAAGACTGAACTGGAGCAGGAATTCAACAAGAACACCCAATTACAGCAAATACTGGACAAGACCAAGAGAGAACTGCAGGAAAACCAGGATCAGTAAGTCTCCGTGTGCCTTATTAACATCAAAACATGAAGCAAATTTCCAACAGAAAGTATAACCCTGTTAGGTATAGACTTATGATTGGATTTGTGTGATGTGTCTTCAGAATGGTGGAGCTGCGGATGGATCGGGAGTTGGTGGAGTCTCGCTTACGGCAACAGGAGGATCAGCTAGCTCAGCTCCAGGAGGAACTCCGACGGATGCCGGAAAACTCTCCTCAGTCTGACACAATGCAGCTAGTAAGCATGATTGTGGTGTCTAGCATTAATGACCCTTAATCAGCCTTTTATATGCTTAAAACATAAAAATGTATTAATATAAATATATACAAAGTTAAAATAAAATTACAGCAAGATATATGAATTGATTTATTATTCACCGTTTAAAGTGTAAATGAATGCGAACTCCAGATAATCAAATTTAAAAAAGATACACAATGTTAGATATACAGTATCCACACACACATACAGAACTAGACAAACGTTTGGACACACCTACTTATTCTTTATTATGATTACTGGTATTCTTAATGATTGAAAATAAAGTAATCAAAACTATGAAATAACACAAATGTAGTGGCCATCCATCCATCCACATAAACCTTTAGATCAGAAGGTTTTTAAGATCATGCCAATAATTAATTCAATAAAATCCATCCATCCATACCTTTAGAGCAAAATGATTTTAAGACCATGACAATCATTAATTCAATCAAGTGTGTCCAAACCTTTGACTTAAACTGCTTGCTGGGGTTTTGTAAGATATTATTCTTTGTAAAGCTGCTTTGGACCAATGTGCATTGTGAATGTGGAATTGAAATCAAATTTAATTTTTGTTAATCATTCCAGTTTCCTTTTCTCTTCAGGACTTGATGACGGTGCAGGCAGATCTGTCGGAGTCTCTGATGCTGAGGCAGAAACTGGAGGACACACTGAGACAGAGGGAGCGAGAGCTCACCGCTCTGAAAGGGGCCCTGAAGGATGAGGTGGAGTCCCACGATAAAGAGATGGAGTCCCTGAGAGAGGAGTACAGTCAAGACATGGACGCCCTGCGTCACAGCATGGAGACCGTCTCACAGGTGAACGTACACTTCAAGACAAATACCTTCAGGGTGATGAATGCCTGTTTCTCACATTTATAGTCCCTGCCTCAAGGGGATTGACATGGAAGAGAGATGTTTTATTGCTTGTCTTGTCTTGCATGATTAGGAGTAGTTGAACTAGGCCGGATGCATTCGGGTTTGTGATCTGCTTGGTTGTCTAAACAGTTTCATGAATCTGAATGGGTGCAAAGTATAGAACTGAAGTTTTCACTGTTACCACCTGATCTTGCCTTATTCACAGTCTCAGATGGAAATCGAGGAGGAGCGTCAGAAGGTGAACGCCTCCATCATGGCTCTGGAGGAGGAGCTGGAGGGATACAAAGAGCAGAGCGACCAATGGAAGGAGCAGTGCAGCTCTGCCAACCGAGAGTAAGCTCTGACACATCAAGCATCGACATTTGAAGAATGTTAATAATGGTGATGCCAAAATGTTGGTGATGCGATCGATGTGGGTGGGTCCAACAAGTTTATGCAGATGCAATGTGGGTGCAGTGAAGCCCACCAATAATGACCAACAACACAGTGACCCTGCAACCTTTAAAATGTGCATATTTTAAGGGGACATAACATGTGCATAATGTTTTAAATAATTAAGGTTGCATAGTTGTGTATTATAATTTCGTGTAAGATCTTAAGGTGTCACTCCAAGGTTTAAGTCCGTATTTGTCTAAGGAGTCAAGTGATTAATTGCTAATCATATACAAACAACCTTGTGACCAACACCCCTTTTTAACATTCACTGTGTCCACAAAAATATTTCTCAAGAATACACTGATACATTTTTTCCAAGATTCTTTGATGAATAGAAAGCACAACATTTTGTTTGAAATATGAATCTTTTGTAACATCATAACTATAACTTTTTATCAATTTAATGCAACAAAAAGTATTAACTTCTTTTTTTTATTTTTTTTTTTTTTTTATTAGTGGATAAAAAAAGCTGTTTTAAAGGACATTTGATTTGACATGATGAATGAACTGTATACATCACAATCTTTTCCCACAGGTTTCATAGTTTTTATAGTGTTTTATATGTTGTCTTAGTTTGCCTTTGTTGTTTTATGAGTTCATGTCAGATTTGCTCATTGAATGTTCATTGTTGTCTTTCTGTTGTATGTGTTCACTCTTGGTTTGCCAGACGAGGGCAGTGCAACGCATTTCAAAAGTGAGACAAAGTCCTGTAGGCGCACAACTGCTGACACCACAGGCAGAAATGAATCATCTAATCAAATTAACTACGATTGATGAAGTGTTTTAGTTTAAATCGGTAATCTTTCACAGAATCTGGCTGTACTAGTTATACTGACACACTACTAGAGTCTATTAACCTGGTTTCAATTTTCAGGTTATTAAGTCTAATAAAAGTCAGCTATGATTAAAGACTAATCAAAATCCTTCAATCTTGCAATCTGAGCTGTTACATCAAATCTAATCACACAATAATTGAATTCTACTAATATGTCAAACGTTCTTGTGGACGCTCGTGCCTTTTTTTTCATGTCATGAATCATTTCGATTCTGAAATAATACAGATTTATCTAGATAATGTTGATTCTTCTACAGGATGAATAATTTTAGTGGCTATCTGCACTAACATTGCTGAATGTAGCATTGTTTGTTAGTGTATTTTAATTTGTGTTTGTCTCATTGGACAGGCTGATGCAGGCTCAGCATGAGAAGAAGCAACTGGAAGAGAAGCTGCTTTCAGTTAAGAAGCAAACTGATGAAACTGATTCAAACCCTTTAATGAAGGTGAGATACATAAAGAAGCGCCACAATCTATTTTCTCTGTTCTTCAGTTCAAAAAGATTCATTGTGACACCGGTCCGTGCTCTGTGTAGGCTCTCTTTTGATGCATAGATTTGTTTTAGAGTCTGGAATAACAGTAATTTGCATCTTCAGGAGTTACAGCGGTGCCGAGATGATTTAAAGAAAGCTTATTCACAAGTGGAAAAGCAGAAAGCAGAGGCAGCAAAAAAGGAAGAAGAGCTTAAATCGGTAACCAGAGCCAATGAGAAGCAAGAGAAGGAGCTGAAGGCAGAGATTGACAGACTAAAAGACCAATTGAAGAAAGACAAAGAGGAACTTGCAAAGGCACTGGAGAAAACACAACAGGTAACTCTAACAAGGTGCATTAAATCACATTTCTTGCAAAATTGTTTTTGCTTTAACCAGCCGGGTTTATTTTGTTTGCATCGTGTTAGGAAGCTCCGCTCGTTGGTCTAGAATCTTGCTCTACCTAGCTGAATTTTAAAGTGCCACTGTTATGCTATTTTAAAGGTTTCTAATTTTGTTTTGGAGGTCTCCTACAATATATATATATTTATATATATATATACATGCATCAAAGGTCAAAAAACACTTTAGTTTTCTCATAATAAAAATAATAAGAGTCTGAAAACAGTTTGTTCGAAGATTCAGTCTCTCTAAGCCCCTCCTTACTGCAAGCTTTCTCTGCTCTGATTGGTTCAAAAAAGCATAATATGGCACTTTAAAGGAAAATATGTTCTGATTGACTCAGATTTTGCTTCTACGGCTTCTCGCTTTCCTTGAGAACAGAAAAAGTTCTTGCAAATGTAATTTTTGTTTCTTTAATCTGTTTACTTCCTGTTCCTGTAGCCCTTCATGTCAGAGCAATCTCTGGATACTGGAAGCAACCTAGAACTTGAAGAGGCCAATGCTCGCTTGAGAGAGAGAATAGCCCGCATGGTAAAACCTCCCTAAAAATGCTTCAAAATCATATTCATGTACATTTATTTACATTTTGCTTTAAAAATGATTGGTATAACCATTCATCTCATCTCCTTTAGTTCAGTATTTCTTTGTAGAAACAGTAAATTGATTTTCTTTAAACTTTCTTTTCCTCTTGGTCACCAGACGCTCTTGCAGTCCAGCGTTCCTGACAGCAGCTCCTCAGATGTTCTGGAGGAGGAGAACCGGAGCCTGAGGAACCAGCTGGAGGAGTCCCGTCGCACAGTGTCTCGGCTGGGTCAGGAGAAAGACGAGCTCAACAGACGGTTGGAGGAGAGGGAGAGAGAGAGGGAAGCTCTGAGACGCGGCAAGATCGACATAGAGGAGCAGAAGAGACTGCTGGACCGATCTCTGGAGAAGATTAACAAGGAGGTACAGTATGTGTGTTTTTTGTTTAAAAAAAAAGTTTGGGGTCGTTCCAATTTTTTACTGTGTGTTTTTGAAAGACATGCTCACCAAGGCTGCATTTATTTGATCAAAAATACAGTAAAAGCAATAATATTATGAAGTATTTTTTACAATTTAAAATAGCTTGTAAAACTTTTATATATTTTAAAATGTTATTTATTCCTGTGATCATTCCCAGCAAGCAATAGACGTCATTTCACCGTCTAGGTTAACTATAGACCCAATATAGTCCGGCTATGAGTAACCCACTTCTAGCCAAAATAACCTAGAATTTGGTTACATGTCGTTTTTTCCAGAATAACTTACGGGATGTATGATATTCCATCATGTAAGCAAAGTAAACCGTGATTACAAAGTGTTTGGTTTCATTTCTTCACTAATTTCATTTCTTTGTTATCTAATTGATGACTAGTCTATTCTTGCACTATGGTTTAGACGTCTATAAAATTTTCCCCGACAGCCCAAATTTTGCCTTTAGACATCTGGGCTGTGTATGGACGGCCATTAGACGTCTTTTAAACGCAAAATTGCTTGATCCAGTCTTCAGTGTCACTAAAGTGATCCTACAGAAATCATTGTAATATACTGATTTGCTGCTCAAGAAACATTTATTCTTATTGTCAATGTTGAAAACGATTGTGCTGCTTAATATTTTTGTGGAAACTCTGATTCTTTGAATAGAAAGTTAAAAAGCACAGAATTTATTTGAAATCAAAAAATTTCGTAACATTATAAATGTCTTTACTGTGACTTTTGATTAATTTAATGCATATTACATATATTTTATATTTTACGTGTGTGTGTATATATATATATATAAACTTGGCAAGAAAAGAAATGTCCTCTCACTTTTAAAGGGTTAGTTCACCCAAAAATGAAAATTATGTCATTAATGACTCACCCTCATGTCGTTCCAAGCCCGTAAGACCTCCGTTCATCTTCGGAACACAGTTTAAGATATTTTAGATTTAGTCCGAGAGTTTCTGTCCCTCCATTGAAAATGTATGTACGCTACTGTCCTTGTCCAGAAAGGAAATAAAGACATCATCAAAGTAGTCCATGTGACATCAGTGGGTTAGTTAGAATTTTTTGAAGCATCGAAAATACTCGATTTTGGTCCAAAAATAACAAAAACTACGACTTTATTCAGCATTGTATTGTCTTCCGGTTTTGTTGTCAAGTCCGTGTTCACGAGTCCGCAGGGACGCTGATGACGTAAGACGCTGCTGACGTGTTATCTGGTGTGTCCATGTATTCGGGTTCAAATAAATATGGCTGGGCCAAAAAAAATGCAAGTCTTCCTCTGTGTCGAAGATAACACATCAACAGCGTCTTACGTCAGCAGCGTCACTGAACGCGGATTGACAACAGAACCGGAAGACAATACAATGCTGAATAAAGTCGTAGTTTTTATTATTTTTGGACCAAAATCGAGTATTTTCGATGCTTCAAAAAATTCTAACTAACCCACTGATGTCACATGGACTACTTTGATGATGTCTTTATTTCCTTTCTGGACAAGGACAGTATAGCGTACATACATTTTCAATGGAGGGACAGAAAACTCTCGGACTAAATCTAAAATATCTTAAACTGTGTTCCGAAGATGAACGGAGGTCTTACGGGCTTGGAACGACATGAGGGTGAGTCATTAATGACATAATTAAAATTTTTGGGTGAACTAACCGTTTAACAGACCCCCCCCCCCCCCCCCCCCCCCCCCCCCCCCGGCTTTTTTCGGCTGAGTTTATTTGCTGTTTTTCTTTTTTTCTTTCATTTCTTTCTATCAGATGGAGAGTATGATGGGAGAGTCGCGTCAGTCGGTGACGGTTCTTCAGTCTCAGCTGGATGAATTCAGGGATCGTTCACGTCGAGAGCTGCAGGACGCTCAGAGACTCAGTAAAGACAGGCTGATTGAGTTACAGAGAGCGCAGGCCCTCCTCAAGACCACCCAGGAGGAGGTGAGACCGACCACCTGAACACTAGACACCCAGTGTCAAAGTACGACAGCGCACAGGGTCCATTAACATCTATTGTTATTAACCTTTGAGCCCCAAGGTTCTTTGATCCGGCTGATTTGAACCTACAACTTCTCAGTAAAGAACCCAGATCACACCAGATGAACTTTGTTTGTGTATGGTTCTCAGGTGTCTCGTCTGAAGAAAGATCTGCTGACGTGCTCGGAGGAGAGGGACAGCGCTCAGCTGGATAAAGATCTACTGAGCAGTCGTCTGAAACACCTGGAGGATGAGCTGGAGACGGAGAGAAGCTCACAGACGGACCGCAGCAGAGAGATCCGCCTGATAGAGGTAACCGTGTAGGTTTGGCACCTGGACGTTTGAGTGAACCAACTTGACAGCACCCAGTTCCTATTCTTAAAAATGTTTCAGAGGCTTCATCGAATATTCATGTGATCAAGAGTGGCAGGAAATGAAAAAACGTATAGGGTCGTTTTAGTGATATGCGTAAATGAACGTTCAGGGATGTTTATAAAAGTGCATGTTTTTGTTTTAGGACAAAGTGAAGATATTAGAGATCGAGTTGGACGAGGAGAAGAGTGGAGCGGAGCTACTGAACGAACGCATCACTCGCAGTCGAGAGCAGGTACATAGATGCACATTAGTTAAACGCTGGTCATTTTTGTTTTTGTTGTGTTTGCAAGCACAGATTATAGATTTAGATTTTTTTTTTCTTTTCTAGGTGGATCAGCTCCGTTCTGAACTGATGCAAGAGCGTTCAGCCCGACATGATCTTGAGATGGATAAGAGTGCACTGGAGAGACAGGTACACGCAGATTCATTTTTTTAATCTAGTGTTTCTAGATTTATTTATTTATTATGCATTTTTCCAGATTTGTTTGTTTAATCTATTTAGATTTGAATTATTTTGACAGTTCTTAGAATTAGTTTAGCTAGATCAGAAACCATAAAAAGAAATGTTACTTAATAAAATAAATTTGGTTAACCCACGTTTAACACTCTTTTGTCACCTTCATAGTTTTATTATGCGTTTAAAATCTTCTATTTGTTTATTGCCTCTCTTGGTCTCTCAGATGAAGGAGTTAAAGTCTCGTATAGCTGATATGGGCACTCAGGTTCGTCCCTCTGCTGGGGTCACGATGCTAGAACACAAGGTTCAGGAGCTGGAGGACCGTTTGCGCAGTGAAGAGAGGTACACACGCTGCATAGAGTAGAGATACTAGACAAGCACAAACACACACTCCTGTCATCAATCAACACTTAACTGGGAATTAATAAATCCATTACTTTTTGTGCATTCAGAGAGAAAAACACCATTCTAGCTGCTCAGAGGAGATTGGACAGGAAACTTAAGGACGTGACGGCCATCCTGGACCAGGAGCGAAATCAACACGCTGAACAGAGAGACCAGGCAAGCACACACACATGTAGCTTTCACATACCTTAGGGTGTGTACTTCGAAATAAAAAGCTCTTTTTAATTCTGTTAATTGTCATTTCTGTAAATGAGGTGTAGATGTAGCTAGACCTTCGGAGGAGTTTGTGCATCTAAACAGCTGCTGTGTGTTTGTGTCTCTAGCTGTCTCTGCGGGTGAAGGCTCTGAAGCGTCAGGTGGACGAGAGTGAGGAGGAGGTGGAGCGTCTGGAGGGTGTCAGACGGAAGGTTCTGCGGGATCTTGAGGAGCAGCGGGAGCTACAGGAGGCGCAGCAGGCCAAAGTCAACACACTGGAGAACGAGCTCAAGTGAGTGTCCGTCAAGCATACATGTATGTATGTATGTGTATATATGTATACACGTATACATATATACATATACACAAATATACATATCTACTTACATATACACACATATACATACGTATGTGTGTGTGTGTGTATGTACGTATGTGTGTGTATATATATATGTATGTTTATGTGTACCTATGTTTATAAAATAATACAAGCATGATGGCCTTGAACAGATAAATAAACTTGAATATAGCACTAAATATAGTTTTTTTTAATGTATTTAAAAACTAGGGTATGTGAAAAATGTATTTGTAAATTATTAGTTAGTTAAAATGTAATTTTATGAGTTATTTATTACTTTATTATTTCTTAGTTTAAATTTATAAAATTATTTATCATTTTTTTTAACGTTGTATGATTTATTTTAGTCTACAAATATCTATCTACAAAAACCAGCACAACAATATTTGGATGTAAAATGCAGGGGCTCAAATGAATCTGTTTTTGAAATGCTGCATAAAATTGGACCCTCTGAATTAACCAATTCACTCAAATGAATATGATTAATTGGTTAATTATATGAAGGCACTACATATAGAATTAGATGTCATAATATTATTTGATCAATTTACTGCTACTCACTGGAAAAAGTAGCTTGATACTGGAAAAATATACACTGTCTTGAAAACATCTGAGCTACTGCCACACTACTTAAAAATGTAGTAGTGTCAGCAGTCAGTGGTTTCGTTACTTTTAGGTTACATCCCACCATTGATATATAATATGTACTTTTGGCCCAATTTCTTGAGTGGCCATTTTTACTGGTTATTTATATTAACATTCTCACCACTAGAGGGTGCACTTACAATGCTGGTCTATGGCAGATGTTGGTCTCTCTGGTGTCTAAAGTGTGTGTGTGTGTGTGATTGTTTGTTAGGAGGAAGGTTCAGCAATCACGCCGTCCAACTCTGGGAAGCACCTTGAGTTCTGAGGAAGAGGACAGTTACTCTGACTCAAAAAACATCACATCTATTCTCACTGAAACGCCACTTCAGACCACCAACTGTTAAAGACTGAACGAGAGGGGGGAAATATCTTTTGCACACGCTTGATTTGTGTTTTCTTGTACATCTAAAAATAACAAAGAAACATGAAATATTGAAACATGAAGGATACAATATTATAGGAATTCGACAGTCTGAAAAAGCTGTTGTGGACGGCTAGCCTTTTCAACAGGAAGTGATGTCAGGTGTCTTTGATAGGGGTTGATGGGTTAGACAGGTTTGAGGGCCTAATAAAGCAGTCGATGTAAAGATTTGTCAACCAAAAGCTCCTTTAGTATTGTTTTTGCTGAAACTGGTTAATTCTGAAGGAAATTAGTTTTTTGTTCTTGCTTATGCGTTTATGAGTGTCATGTTGTTTGTTTGTAAAACACGGTACATTTTATTTCTATATTTTATTTTGATACATTTATTTTGATGAACATTCTTCATCATATTACCAAAATTTCAAGTGGTAATGGAAAAAGTATCAATGAAGAATTTTTATCTTTATACATGATGGATACTTTAGCTCAAAATTAATTTGAATCCTCAAAATGACAGACGAATTTTCAAATGAAACTGTCGCAAGTGTTCGCCTATTATCTTTATGTTTATGTTATGCACTTGTATGAATAATAATGAAGGATATTTAGAAGGCTTCTTTTTGTGTAGCTTTCAAGCAAGTTTTAATTTCAGAACTAAACTTGCAATATGAATGACACCTTTTGTGCCAAGACAGAAAAAGGAAAATATCTTTTAATGTAATGGCTTCAAATATATATATTTGCCTTAAATTTTCATACATTTAGACAGCTAATTACACTTAAGCTGCTTTTTTGTCATTTTTCCAGAGACATATATGTATTTACCTGTCAGATAACAAGTGATTTTCTGCTCTTAAAGACCTGATTTGGAACACAATTTCATATTACACTGTACAATATATATGTATATACTGTCCTGTTTAAAGTTTATTCTTCCACTACACAGTAAACGTTTTAAAGTACTTGAACTTTTGTCATGTTACTCTGATTTTTTTCTTCTCTATCTCTTTGTGTTACTGAATTGAATACTAAATGATCTTGTAATCCTGTATCTCTCAGTTATTTCTCTGCTTTAGTCAGTGTCCTCCTGTCGATACCATTCAGCATTTTTGTTTTTACCATAAACAGCAAACATTTTTATTCATAAGTATTAGGTTGTGCTTAAAATATAGGTTTAGCCTTTAAGTGAACCATTTTTTTTGTGTCATTTAGGATTACAGTGTTTGGTGTAAAGACATTTTTTGACCATAAATGCTTTGCAAATTTTAATATGAGTGCAGTTTTAGTACAACTCAATAAATCATAAACTGTGTGTACATGCATATGGATAAGTGCTTTATATTATGAAACACATAAGACCAATTAATGAAGATCAATAGCTTTATTTTTCTAAGTATATTTCTATAATTATATATCCCCCCCCCCCCCCATTGTTATTCATTCTTATGTGCTTTTTTACATTAAGTACACACATTAGAATGGCAAATTTAAAATAATAAAACATTTCAAACATTACATTGACACTGTGCAGTGAGAAATCTCTCCGCTACTCCAAACCATGATATGGTACAAAGACAAACTGTTAACCATGTTACAAAAGGTCATTGATTTTGTTTCATCCAAACAATACTTAAGAAGATGGCAATGCACAAAAAAATATCGAAAGCCCTATTCCTGATTCCAAGGCATATTTCTTCATTGATTGTTATTCAGGAAAGCAAAAGGAAAACTGCTGTACAATATTTTGAATCCCTATAAGCCAGGGTCACATTCAATGCTCAAAGTCTCAATGTCCTGGTTAGTGATTTCAGTAGGCTACTTGTGTTATTCATCGTCATTATTTGTGTGAATTCAATAAGAATGTATCATCCAAGCATTTATTTGCCTGATGTACAGTGATGTTATACCAATCACGAGGTATGTCTGCTGGTTTTAAATTGTATTAGCAAATTTTCTGTTGTACTTCGCAAAGATGTACTTCCAGAAGTCAGTGGCCTCAATACTAGTGTCAGGCTGTATCCTCCAGTCTGGAAAGATTTGTCTGTATTCTTTATTGGGATGCCACTTGTGTCCTGTTTCATTACAGCTGAAATTCATTTCACTAGCAACAATAGATGAGCATATGTCAGGGACTAATTTCTCTGTTTGAACCCAACTGTAATGTAATGCCTTGTGGCCGATGAACTGAGGCAAAATGCTCAGTATGTTGTTTACCTCCAGCTTCACAAGGTGCACTGCAGAATGGACACTTTTTCCCACAGCCAAACACTCTGCTGAAGAGCACCTCTTGAGGTCTGTTCTTTGAGAGTCTGGTTAGCTTGACCCTTACATCCTTTAAACTACGTAGCTGATCTTCTAAAGTCTTATGCATCTTGTCTATTGAAGATTTAAGGCAATCTACAAACTCAGCAGGGTCTGAGTTGTTTAAAGCCAGAGTGGCACTGAGAGTGTCAATTGGTATGACCAGCTCTTTATCGAGAGATTTGAAGACATTGGTCACGAAATTGCAGCTGTTGTTTGTCATGCTTTTTGCACTTTCAATTGCTGTTTTGAGTTGGCTGACAATTGCGTTTAAATGTTTCATCTCTAACTTGAGAAAAGCGTCTTCCTTTGAAAAATGTTCAATGATCTTCTCTGAAATCCACTCGGTTACAAACTTCTCGTAATTTTGCACATACTCCAAAATATTTTCGAAGTCATTATCCCGAAGCAGTTGTTTTAAAAGTGAACACTGGAAAATTGTCCGTGTGCTAAAAGCAATGCCTCTTTCGCCTGTCAACATTTCATCCACAATGTCAGGTCCGAGACGTTTCTGGATGTATTCCATCACGGCAGGGGTGAAGCATTGCTGGGCACACATCTCGGCCTTGTTCTGACACTGGTCTCGCTGGTAGTAGAGGTCTTTAAAGTCAGCTAACCATTGCTCTTTGCACCTTTCGAGAGATGTCAAAGGGTCAGTTCTCTGTATGTAGTCGTCATGCATTTTCTGGAAAACTCTTGCTGCAATCCCGCAAATATGGATCTTGAGAGATGCTTCAATTTCAGGGCCGATCTCTATATCCTTGCAGTCTTCCAATTTCTTGTCAATGAAGCACAACAGTTCTTGTATGTCAGCACTATAGTCTAATTTTGCACTTGTTTTAGACGCAATAAATGCTTTGCTCTCATTTATTAATCTGTCGCATGACATTTGTATGAATTTGTGTTTTTTATTCCTCTGCATAGGTAGAAGGGAATTCTTGAGTTTTTTAAATATATTCGTTTTTACAGTCGTTGCATAAAAAGGTCCAGTGCCGCACTGATCTAGACTGGTGACATTTAACAGCATCTCACGTACGGCTCCACCTTTTGTTTCCATGTTACTGTGTAGGAATCTGTATGTTTCCTTCCCCAAATCACAGCTTGGTAGTGCTGTGAGGGAAAACTGCTTCACAATGTCATCCCACATTTTTTTAAATTCCTCATTTAGTTCAACATCAGAGAGGTTGTGTTTTGTATTCCTGCAGGTAGGGCTGTGCGATATGACGATATATATCGGATGGACGATATAAAAAGCCTATCGTTTCATATTATGCCATATCGTTTATATCGTGGTGTCGCAAAAAAACATTGTTTACGGCAAAAATTTGGATGACTGCAATCTTTCACGCCACATGGGGATGCAGGCAGAAACGTGAATAACAGCATGAATGAAGGGGTGACAGAACCGGGTGTTTCCGAGCAGGAGAAGAACCAGCCAGAACAAACCGAGGAGCTCGTTCCTAAACGAGGGACTAGATGGTTTGGTTAACTTTCTATTTGTTGTATTGACCATTTTAGGGTGGTTTGGATAAATAAACGCCAGTCTCAAATAGAGGCCTGGTCTGTTTTTTAGTTTCGGTTTGTATTTAATCTTCTAAAACCCGTCAGATCGTCTGTTTAAACCAGTTCTGTGGTGCAGATTGCGCGCATCTGGGCGGAGTTGTTAGCGCAAGCAGAGTTAGCGGAGGCCGGAGAGAGAAGGAGATCGTTTTACAGGGTATAGCCTTCATTCTTTCTTGTTGATGTGTTTCGGGCAACAAGTTCATAGGCTCGATGGATATTACCAGTAATGTATTGTTCAGCCCATGGCTGTCACTTCGTTTCGTTTTTTTTTAATTCTGCCAATAATCTAAAAGCTATGGTTTTATTAAATGTACAATTATCGTTATGTATATACTGACTTCACCCTGTGCTGCAACATACATTTAGTTGTACATTCATTTACAGAAATCAGCTGGTTGAATTCAAATTGATGCTGTTATCGGATTTTCAGGTGATATTCCCAATTCATTCAGTTAACGGACGCTCTGAGGTAAAGTGTTCAGACTGCAGACTAAGCAACGATTGTATTTAATTGTACAGTACTATCATAACATAGTACAGACATGATCTTAATTCCATAATGTCCTTAAACATAACAATTTGCTGGCCATAAACTGACAGCGCGCGTCCGGTGTGCGATACCTCGAGTTGCTATAGACACGGCGCGCGCGCTTCTCGTCCGGTGAGCGACCCCCTTTAGACATAATAAAGTAGCCTAGGCTAATTCTTAGATTAACGGATTTGTTAAACACATTTATAAATAAAACGTAATCTTCGTTATCTCTAGGCCTACACTAAATTAAAGGCCTGTCTCATAGACACCTGCCTCAAATACAAGCCGGTGCAGTTCGGCGATTTGGGAAAATAAAAGCCCGGGCTATTATTTGATGTTTTACAGTATATCGTGATATATATCGTTATCGGGATATGAGATGACTTCTATCGTGATATGAGATTTTGGTCATATCGCCCAGCCCTACCTGCAGGCACTGATCAAGTTGAGCACTTTTTCTTTCATGGTATCCCTTTGATTTTGTCTTATAGCCTCCACCTTTTCAATTCCCTTCTGTATCAATACAGCATTCTCCAGTTTGTTTCGCAGATCTGTCTCAGTCTCCCTTCGAAGGCCTTTTGCACTGTTTAAAAAGTCCTCCTTGTAATTTTCAACAAGGTGAACATTTTCATCCTCGCTTTC